GGAGCGACGGGACTAAGCAGCTAGTGTAAAAGGTTAGAAACGGTATCGCCACTGCCACAGGCCAGAAAGGGGGGAGATATATCAGACAGCGGTTACCTATCCAAATGCAACGAGAAAACGCGATATGTGTTATGGGTACAATACCCGAGCCGGATAGCATTGAAGAAGTGTTTTTGTCATGAATCTCGTTTTTTTAGTACTCAGTTTGTACTTACATGACGATACTTGCTAAAGGCTTTACACACAGGGACTGTACTAGCTCAAATAGATATAACTGCACAAGCGCAGTTATTAAGTTAACTGTGGCAAGATAAGTTTGTACTGCGCTTGCAAAATTAAATTTGGAATCGACCGTTAAGCGAGGGTTTAACCAAGGCAGTGATCTACTGTTATCGCAATACGGAATGTTGCATAAGGATTTACCGCTGGACTGCGGAGCCGCTTTGGCTAAATGGTTGGTTAGCCAGATTCAGGTAGAAGCTTTGCGACTGTCCCGGCAGCGGAATACTTCTCTCGTAATATGCTGTACCTCGGAATGCGGAATAATGCGTTAACCAGTTAAGAACTGACCGAAAAAGAAACTTCGGGGCATACGTCTCGGACTCGGCTTAAAATTCGCCTTTTTCCATGTCACCGTTTTCGTTTCGGACATTTTTCCTTCGCTCACGGTATTTGCAACTAACGTTTCTGCAGTGCCTTCACCAAATTAATGTAGAATGAGTATCTCAGAAAATATGACCTTTTCGAACTGCAGCTTTGGGAGTTCGGTTAATCTGGCTATCGGTGGTTAAAACAAGTAAATGGATATTAATTAAGATAAATATCATATTATTAATATGGGTATCTATAATAAACATGATGCGCCAAAGGATCCCTACAATAACATCGAGTAAGAGATTTGTCCGTAACGGTTTCCTTCTTAGAATAAAAGCCTATTACACTGCTGTTTCGTACCTAAATTACAGACCATGGGCATATCGTATAATTTTATTTTCGGTTTCCTTTAATATGAAACAAGCCCCGGGACGTTCGCTTGATGGCTATGTTCTTATTTTATTCCGATTTATACTGTAATAGCATTTACAGCTTTTTCCTGCGTTTCCTGTACCTGTTCTCTGCGATCTGCGTTTTAGGTGTCCCGAAACGTATAATTCGGGTGGCATATCCGGTACTTTTATGGAAGCGTCTGCAACACCGGAGCCGTGGTATAGCCGGACGGTCGCGAACGGCAAGGAATAACGGGATGGAAACAAGACACCGCCAAGCTGCAGCCCGACCATTCGTCTTGCTGACACTATATACAGTCAGCATGTCTATACGTTGGTTACCTTGTATGTTGGTTGCCTAGTACAGCTTTATTGAAATTGGCGTTTTTAGTTTTAACCACCTGGTAACACTACGGCAAGTGCAGTTTTGTCTGTACCCGATGCAAACTCTGTGCGATCCATTGCTATTTTTCCTCAGCATGGAGAATTTGCGGACGTTTTATGTTCACTTTTTGAGAGGCCGCCAGCACGAACCAAATGTGGTACAGATTGACGTTATCAGACACTGAGGGCTGGGACACCGCACAGTTCCAGCACCTGGTTGCCGAGGTATGCCGACTCGATATGTATAACGAATTTGAGCATATTGTCATGCACCGTAGCACCGAAAGTCTGGTTGCTACGTGTTCGATGTTTCTGAAGTTGCCTCCAAAAGGCTTAATGTTAAGAAGCGAGTCTGAACTAAAACCACTTCCACGGCGAATTTTTTCAGTTTAAAATATATTAAGAAGTTTTAATTTTTGTACTAAATTTCGTTACTTTAGATTGCTACTAAATTGATCAAAATTGCTCCTGCTAAAGCGAAATAACCTTCCTGTGTATCTCTGAAAAGAGCGCCTTGTTCTTCAGATCTATTAATCCGGTGAAAGAGCGTGAAATCTAGTGCAGAAAGCTTCAAATGTTTTGCTTGCGCAGTCGTTCACGCTTTTATAACCTGTAGACTGATTGCTATTGTTGTTTCCCGCGACAATGAACACGAAGATTTTTTAGTGGAGAGCAATGATTTTCTAACTGGAATTCTTTTTTCTGCAAAGTATTTTTATCCACAACTTGTATGGTTGAAGGCACATCCTAATGACGTTAATCACGATCCGAAGAAATCATACTGGCTGGTCAAGGCTGGATTATATTTAAATTTATATTTACGCCTCACTACATTTGAAGGCCGGTTTTGTTTGAGAAAGGTAACTAACTGACCGTTATTTTTTGTTCTGCCAAGCGTTACCAATTCGATAATGCAAAAAGATGCCAAGATGATGATATTGATATTTTGTCTGAAGTGTCGTACAGTATCTCAGTCTAAGACAGTATAACCGAGTATAACGGTATATTTCGCCTCGCTTTGCTGCCGTACATGAATCCATCGCATGATTAGTACCTATTAAACTGCAAATCGCTGTTATTACTACTACGAATTACTACTACGAAATTACTACTACGAATCGCTGTTGCGTTACGGATGGGAGCTCCGGTCTGTAAGCAGCATAAATGCCGATGCGGTGAAATGGTTGATGTAAAAGGTCTGCACGGTTTGTCATGTTTGAAAAGCCAGGGGAGATTCAGGCGTCACGCAAGTCTGAACAGTCTAATTCAGCAAAAGAGTTCAGCCAAGCCCGGGTTCAGCAAAAGTTCCAACTATTCTAGAGCCACCTGGATTGTGCAGGTCAAATGGTAAGCGGCCGGACGGTTTATCACTTTTCCCCTGGAAGAACGGCATCCCTTTGATCTGGGGTGTAACTGTGTGCGACACGTTTGCTATGTCATACATCGCCGGCTCATCAGAAGTATCGGGATCGGCAGCAGAGGATGCAGAAGAACGAAAGTGGCGTAATTATGAAGAACTCACCGATCGTTATTTTTTCCAGCTTCTGGCCTTCGAAACTGCGGGAAGTTGCGGCGTCAGTACTCGTCAGTTCATCAATGAAGTTGGTCGACGCATAAAAGAACAAACAGGAGAGGCGCGCGCTACCGCGTTTTTGTGGCAGCGCATAAGTGTTGAAATTCAGCGTGGAAATGCCGCTTCTGTTCTTGGAACTGTTGGTTGTTCAAAAGAGCTAGAGGAATTGTTTTATTTGTTCTAGCTTTTGGTTACTTGAGTCTAAGTTTTTAAAGGGCATTTGCTTGTACAAGTTTGAAATAAAATGAACTGTGTCTGTAAACTGCAATGATGCGTTTCAACGTTCTGATACACCGCCACCTCGTACTACAGTTACACCCCACGGGCAAGTTTGGTAGGAGTGTTTGGTCTGATTTGTTATAAGATGCGCGAGACCTTTGCTGGATGTTTTCGTTTGGCATCCGACTCTTAACCATGCTCAAAGCTTCTTCAGTACGTTAACCATAATGCTTCCCGTTATCATTACCGTTTTATTGCTAAACGAGTCACGCGCGGATACACTGCCGCCGAGTATTAACACGACGGCGGCCTTCACTAACGCGGACGGTGGGCCGGTATTTCTTTTCAGCGTATCGGTAGCCTCCCTGATCCTCAATACTGCCGTTACGATAGTTCTTCTGAAAACTAAAAGTCTCCGAGCGCCGTTTAACATCTACATCATTGTTATGCGTTTAAGCAATATTATTTTCCTTTGCGCCACTAGCGCACCGGTCATCGTCCCCAAGAACTTCTGGCCTGCTGATGACCGGTACTGTACACTGTTGATGTACAGTCAAAACGTTTTGGTAGCGATAACGGTACATTTCCACGTACTAATCACCATTAACCGTGCGTGGGCTCTTTTCTGGCCGCTGTCGTATCGATTGCACCATATCGCAAAACTGACATGGTGGGTGTGTGCCAGCATTACGCTCTACCTCCATATTGTCCAATTACCGGGAGTGCTAATGGACGCCGTGTATTATCGGAAACCGAACTCGTGCTGGGCCAATACGGATGCGCAACGGGCGTGGTATCTGTTTTCCGCAATCTGGGTTTTTGGCGTGCCGAAGTTATTAATTCCTCTCACCTATCCGGTCCTTTTATGGAAGCGGTTGCAACACCGGAACCGTGGCATGGCGGGACGGTCGCGAGCGGTATGGGAGAGGGGGGCAGATTCTAGACAGCGACAAGCTGCTGCAGCTAGACCGTTTGTTTTGCTTACGCTGTACACAGTCAGCACGTCGATCTGCTGGATACCTAGTATGGTCTACTTCTCCTTATTGAAAACTGTCCCTAATGGAGCTAGCCGTTTTGCCATACTAGGAATAATGCAAACCTACCTGTACCCGATGCAAAGCCTCTGCGATCCCTTATTATTCATTCTCAGCATCGGGAATTTACGTGCGTTTTTTGTTTGCTTTGTAAGAGATGAACAGCGCGAAGCTAATGCGATCGACGTAATGAGATAGTGAAGGCTATACTGTCGAACGCTTGCAACCGAATGGAAATTAAATGGATGATGGTGAATGCCTAAAAATTAAAAAAGCACCTATCGTTCCACGGTTCCACCCAAGTCCGGCATCAAGTTGGGCGTGTCGTATATAGTCTCGCCGAACTGGGTCCGGCTTTATGCTGCAATATAAATCCTGTGCCACTGCGTTTTGTCGATTTTTGTTTAGGTTGTAAGCAATTTAATAATATTTAATGTAGTCGAAAATAGCAATTCGAAATCGATTTCCATTCATGGGTCGTTGAGTTCGCTCACTTAATACGCGTATGATAACTAGCCCGGCTAGTATCACGAACCTTTCGCGAACGGACTAACCACATAACGTATACGGTATAGGCATAATGTTAAAAAACGGTGAACCGGAAACAGCACAAAAAACTAACTCATACTGATTCTGGGTATTTGCTATCCTATCGAATTCCGTTTTTTGTGCTGTATTATTTTAATTTCCGATTGATTTCGATGAGAGCAAAGATCTACTCTCCAACTAAGATTCAAAGGCTCCGAACTGATGAAGACTTTTCAGTAAAACCGTCGCTGTCTATATTAACATACACTGCAACCACATTCCTGACATTTACATTACCAAATTTTCACAACCAAGTCTCGATACGCAAGGTAGCAGCTGCTGCTGCGGTGTACGGATGGAATCTTTTTCAGCAGAAGCGTCGCAGTCTAGGTATATTCACATACACTGCGGCCACATTCCTGTCCTCTCCCACCCTTTCACAACCAGGACCCGATACGCAATGTAGCTGCTGGTCTGTACTGATGGAATCTTTTTCTACAGAAACGTCGCAGTCTATACTCACATACATTGCAGCCATATTCCTGTCCTCTTCCAGCCGTTCACGAACATGCCCCGAAACGCAAGGCAGCAACTGCTGCCGCACTATAGAAGTACTGACGGAATCTTGTTCAGTAGAACCGTCGCTATCTATATTAACATACATTGCAGCCACATTCCAGCAATTTCCCAGCCTTTCACAAGCAGATCCGGATATCCAAGGCAGCAGTTGCTGATCGCTTGCCGATAGACTGACGACTGACCATCCTGCTTTATGTTTCATATCGTAGAACTCTATTGTAGCGGCGTACTCGTAAGCGGAATGCCGGCCACCGCAGATGTAAATGCGGTTCTTGATAACACGGGCGACATGGTCATATCTTGGCCGCTTCAGCGCCTCTAATTCTTCACGCGTAGCCGTTTCAATTTGCAAGCGAAAGCAGGTTGCTGTTGGGCGACCATGGTTGTCAGGTAGCAGCTGTGGCATGTTTCCACCCAAAACGTATATGCATCCATTTACCACCGTCGCAGCATAACTCCAGCGTCGGTTGATTGGCCATTTCCATACGAACGCCCAGTTATTGTTTACGGTATCGTACGAATATAACTCGTCATGTGTGGCATACAGTATCCGTTTACCGAATATTCCCACTATCTGAGCTGATGAAAACCTGAAAGTGAAGATTCATGCTAGGGTAGGTAGGGGTAGGGTTATGTGCTTTACAGGGCGTCCGCGCAACTGGACTGGTGCTAACTCACTGCTAAGCAATTAAACGAATGAACGCAATCTTTTGTGTACTCGTACCCTTTTCCGGGAGTTTCCAACGATACATCGCTACCAGTAGTGACGTCCTTTGCCACGAATCTTTCATGTCCTAAATCCCAGAAATAAAGCTTGTCTTCTATAGCGACAGCGCTTGTGCAAACTGGGCTATCAGGTAAAGGGCGCAAAACACGCCCCGTTTCTTCATCGACACGCTGGAAGTGCGATTCAGAATGAGAAGCCCAGTCAGGAATTATCCGGGTCGCGACTATTACTTCGGTTTCGGTGGCCGCTATGCAATATGAAGAATAATACCCCTTTAATAATTTGCTGTCCGTTGTCGATGATGGGCAAGGTAGAGTCCGAGTATGCAAGGACCCAGTCGAAGGATCGAATACAACAAGAGGTATCCCACATTCTTCTTGAATGCGACCGGTATAAAAAAATACTAGGCCCTGATACTTCCACAATTTACGCAACAGGGCTTCTGCCGATATTCTGTTCGTGCTACGGCGTTGCAAGCAGTGTCCGATAAGCCTTGCAAGGTCTTCCACTATGACGTCGCTCACAAACGGCGCGTATCCGTCCATAATCAGGTTGGCATACCGATGATTCGGTATATCATCTCCAACCTCTATTATTTTTCTCTCGTTCACCAATCTTCTTTGATCAAGGCGCTGGCAGCACTCAGCCATCTCCAGAATCATACAACCCAGACTCCAGATATCGGTCTTTCGCCCAGGATCCTCGGTTTTCATTTGAGCAAATTTTTTTAGCATTTCCGGAGACATGTAACGTATCGTACCGCGCAGCTGCGAGATATCTCCGGAACAAGTGACGCTCTCTTGCATTTGCACCAGATCGTCTAGGTCACCGATCAAAAGCCTTTCCCGGTTATTCGGGAAAATTCTCATCAGGATGTTTTCTGGCTTTAAATCGCCATGTATTATGTTATTCTGATGCAAGAAGTGCAGTCCTTTGGTTATGTTCTTGGCAAATCGAATAACTTTTTCGTCGCTTAGCACGTTTTTCTTCTTGGCCTCCCGTAAAAAGGAGGCAAGGTCGCCTGGAAAAATGTAAGCCTGTTAAGGAAAATGACAGGACCCGGCACACGGCACAAGCTTCTTATATATCCAGCAGATCTTTCGCTTTCGCACAATCCGAAACGCTTTATTGCAGCGTTCTTCTGTAAATCATTCTACAGCCGAATGAGTTGCATACATTGGCTTGAACACCGTATGTGCGCGCAACCGGATCGCTGCAAGAAAGTGCTTCGGAGTGTGCGAAAAAGTAAGAGTTTCCGTAAATGTTTACGAAATTTGTTCCGTATACCCTTAGCCTTAATACACGCTTAATAAATTAACGGTCAGTGTCACAAATCGCCGTTGGCTCACAGTCGTAGACATCCATTGCCAGCTCAACTGTGGCTCCGCCGGACGCTCTGGTTATGGTGACTTTGTGGTAAAGAACGAGATGTTTGTGCAGTAGTCCACGTAGCTTTCGCAATCTGCTCACGACTTTCTTCCAGCTTTCTTCGCTCGTCATTACTCCGGAATTAGCGGCGATACGTATAACTTTGACAGCTATCGCATCTGCTCCGGTGAAGCCCGCCCGCTTTACAACTCTGGCTTTGTGGATAACACCAAATGCTCCCTTGCCAATAAATTCCGCTTGTGAGTAGCTGTACCGCATTTTACTGCCAATGACTTCGACAGCGGCGTTCTTTCTGAAAACATTATTCCCCATAACTGTCGTCCAGAACAGCTTGCGGCTTGAGAAATTTTAATTTCCGCGTCTAGATTTCAGTGCACTTTCTTTAACGTGCGTCTCCGATATAGTAACTATTTCTATAGTAAATTTTGGAAATGCTACGCTGTAACGCTGTTAAATGGTTTTCAGCTGCCAGGGATGTTTGGAACAGAATCGAAAGAGTGTTATCAATGTTCAAATAGTGCTATCGCTAGAAAATAATCATTCTGGGTCACTTAAATATATGTACTTGGCCAGTTGGCTACTTTGCATTTCATATCTTATCGGATAAACAGGAAATGCGCGCATATGGGTTTACCCGATAAAAAAGTCCCATGGACTGCATGCATGCAAATTGCACGAGCACAAGCGCATTTGAATTTCAACTGGAACCAGAAACACCCGCGCACTCGTGAGATTTCGGCAGCTGTTCTCCCAACCTTACCATGAGCATGGCATGACTGCGCACATTTATTTACAGTACCTTCCATCCTTCTCCAGTTTATACAACTACAGTAGGAATTCGTTTCCATTTTACGCAACATGCTATTTTGAGACGTTTTATGAGCAGTTTAAGTTGGAGATGTTATAGCAGCCTCGTTTAGTACGCTTTCTCTCAGAGGATAGCCAAAACGTCCCCGGGACATTTTCCGACAGCGTTTACAAACGCCCTAACATAGGAGCGTTTGCTTGCTCATGGGGACTTTATCATTAGGAAAGAGCGGCATATAACGAGCAACGGTACCGGCTAATACTGCTCGAGAATACCGCCGGAAATACATACGTTGCTATAATTATGTACTGAAGCGCTCGATCGTATTGGAAGATGCGTGACAACCAAGAGCCCGTTACAGGCAGATATAATTCGAAGACTAAATTATAGAACACAGCAGTGGAACCAGCAATATGTTAAATTTACGACATTTTGGCACAATTAATACCTGGCACAATGGAAACCGGTGTCTTCCACGAACTTCGAGTGTTGAACAGACGCAGTTTAAAATTATTACGCTTAATAGCAGGTGTAAGTGTAACTGTGCAAGATATACTTTTCCATGCACTTGCACAGTATGTGCAGTGCGCACAGATGACTAAGCAGGCAGTAGAACTTTCGGTTGCAGTTTTATTTATTAGCGTCGCTCCGAGCCAAAAATTACTGGCGCGCCACAATCGTTCATCTGATTGCAGCGATAGAAGTACAACTGTGTTATCGCTTTAGTGCAATTATTTCGGTAGTTCGGCGGTGAAAATCAAAATTAAATTTACCGTCCTGTGCCTGGTATTGAATCATTTGATCAATTTTTTAGTTAGTTTATTTGAATTGTTTGTATTACTGTGCTAATCATTCTACCTACAATGCCTTCTTCACCTGATACCAATCTGTCGGCAGTGCTGCAGTCTGTCAAAAATTTGCGTTTGGTAAGTATCCGATGCAATATACTCTAAATCTCATTAGGAAAATATATCGGGTATAAAAAAGCTCATCAGGAAATATAAAGGGTAATTCTTCTCAGCAGCGTTGTACGTTTCTAGGAGGAGATGCCGATCCCCCAACCAGGCCCCCATCGTAAGCTTCCATAAAAAAATTCCTTAAAATAACAATGTTGGAATATCTACGATATGTCAGTAAAGAGAATGGCTTTTGATTTATTTAAACATCAAAAGGATTACGTGTGAAAGACAAAATTGACCCCGGCTGAATTCTTACTGTTTACTTGCATTTCAGAAGTGCAGATTGCTATACAAAAAGTCGGAATCTGTGGCTCTGATGTCCACTTTTGGTACGTCGTATAATACTCGCCACGTAAAAATTCGTTCATATGCTGATTGTCTACCGCTATTAGTAGTACTTTAACAGCTGGTAAAATAATTTGGCAAGCGATTTCCAAAACTGTATGCGGTTACTTTATGATTCAGTTTTTTTCTAGGCAACGCGGATACATCGGGGATTACGTAGTCAAAGGTCCGTGTGCAAAGATTTCTGAATGACAAAGAAACCGTTTCCATTTATTCAACATGTCGGTTTTATTTGCTCCCCCTTTTCAGCCCCTCTGGTCTTGGGACACGAAACCAGCGGTATTATTTCCGCTGTCGGCGAAGGTGTTACCCATTTGAAAAAAGGTAAACGCAATCACTCCATTCTTTCGCTCTGTGCTGCAATTTTGTGAAAGTATTTATGATCCAAGTAATAATGGTTGCTTAAATAATCAGATGCACTAGTAACGACTAACGAGTATTTGTTTAATATGTTCTACTTACATGATACAGGTGACCGTGTGGCTATCGAGCCTGGTGTACCCTGCCGGCGGTGTGACTACAACAAAGAAGGCCGCTACAATTTATGCTCGCATGTCACCTTCTGCGCCACACCGCCCTGGCACGGCACTCTCGCACGCTATTACGTTCATGACGCGGATTTCTGCTACAAGTACGTCCATCTAAAATCTCGTATTTTTTTCCCAGTTAATAGTCTCCAACAAGGAAATTCCAGTTCCAACAAATTACAGTGTCTTTGCTGTAGACTTCCCGATCATGTTTCTTTGGAAGAGGGCGCATTGTGTGAACCGCTAAGCGTCGCTGTTCACGCTTGCCGACGAGCAGGAATTGTAATCGGCTACAATGTACTTGTTTGCGGTGCAGGTAATTAATGCCATAATTTATCAGTAAAGCTTCCAGCATCTCTACGATCTACAAATGTTTTTATCACGTGATAGAGCCACCGATATGCATAGCTCCTGTAAATAATAACCATAGTTGTGGGGCATATGTATTTTCGAGCTAATGCTAATTTTTGCTTTATATAAGATTACAAAACTCGAACACGTCCTTAGTTGTATTCTAAACTATCAGTTTGCCAATAAATTTTGTTTCTTATACTGTAATATGGTCTGTGAATGCACTTATATCTATACGCAAGTAAATAATAACAGACTGATTTTTCAGGTCCCATTGGCCTTGTAAACATGCTGTCCGCCCGCGCAATGGGTGCTTCAAAAGTCGTCATTACCGGTACGAGTACATAAAAAAATGTTTTTGTCCATTAACCACACCAGTAACGCATTTCTTTTCCAGATGTATCGGAAGAGCGCCTTAAATTTGCTAAAGAACTGGGCGCTGACCACACAATCAACGTAACCGGCAAAGATCCCAAAGCTGTAGCAGCACTGGTCGCCGAATGTCTTGGTCGTCAGCCGGACTGCGCTATTGAGTGCAGCGGCGCCGAAACCAGTCAAGCGCTTGCCATTTATGTAAGGAGAAATACCGTTTTATAATTTCTTCAGTTACAGCTAAACAAAGTTTGTGTTAGCTCACAGGTATATTATCGGAATTTCCAAAAAAATTCGAAATGCAGTAAAAACATAACATGCGCATTCATATTTGTACAAGCACAATTATTCTTTTTTGAATCTGAAAGATTTCTGCTAAGAAACCAAATTCAGACAAATGAGATATTCACAGTTTTTCAGATTAAAAAAGTCTTACGGGTAAAATTATATCACGTGTACAGGTATAGACCAGATTTAATTTCTACTGGATGACTGACCTTGATAGAAGTTCTTTTAGTGCCAGTAGTTGTTATCAACCTTCCGCTTTTAGCGTTTTTCCTTGCATTTAATTGATGTGTTTTGAAATATTTTATGACTGACTTATCCTTCCAGCCAACTCATAAATTTTCTAACTGCAGTCCACTAAGTCCGGCGGCTGTGTTGTGCTTGTCGGTATGGGCACCCTGGAGAACAAGCTGCCGATAATGGATGCGCTATGTCGCGAAGTTGACATTCGCGGGTCTTTCCGCTATCTCAACTGGTAACCGTTAATATAATGAAGCTGTTATAATTACCGTTTAGCGGCTAGTAAGTTAATTAACCGGGTTGTTATTGTTGTTGTTTTGCAGCTACCCTACAGCACTGGAAATGGTGGCCTCCGGCCGTGTTAACGTCAAGCCCTTGATAACACACCGCTACGCACTGGAGCAGGCGTTGGAAGCCTTTGAGACGGCCCGCATCGGCGCCGGCATCAAGGTCATGATTGATTGCAGTCGCCAGCAATAAATATCCAGTTATTCTCCGCTTTATTAGAAATTAATTGTGTTCTCGGGTGTTTATTGTTTTGCGCCTACACTACTGCGGTGGAAAGGAAAATGTTGCAGGTTTTGTTTTTGAATCGATACAATGTGTGCAATAAAAGTACTACGAAATACTTAAAAATTTAAAAGGAAAAGCAGTAATATGTACCTGTGTTACGTCAAAAAGAAAAACTTTGGATAACATTTTTGAGCTACTGGGGTAAAGATGATGGTGCATAACTGACAATGTTTTATGCTTTACTAGCTTCGTAACTGAACGTGCTTATCCATATAGCAAATACTGTACAACAGGTATCGATACGAAATTAATTTCCGTTAAATCCCATTTTATCCGCTAACAAAATACATTCATCTACTTCTCCACCCATTTTCTACGTCAAAATAATCTCCAATAAAGATCAGCTGAAAAACATATGCAGACCGTTTGTGCAGACATTCACAGGAAACCTCACGTACAAAAAAACCGGAAATTTGTCGACTGAATTAACCCTCTTGAGCAGACAAATGTGTCTTGTACAAATGCTTCTTAATGGAGTGCCCGGCAATTCCTAATATACAAGCAGCGCTTTTTGCACGCCACGCGTAAAAGCTCCTGCAATAAGCGAAAATGCTCGGCTCGATAAGACTAACCGCAGTCGAAACGTTTTCTCACCTGTCCATCGGTCAAGAAAATCTGGTCGATAATAAGGCTTGACAAGGAAAAAATAAACAGGCACAGCAGTAAGCATGATCAGAACACCAACGCCTACAGAAAGCTTTCGTAATACTTTTGGTTAATGTATCAGACCAAACGGTATGCTGAGTATGCTGACCGGTGTCCAATAAATCTTCATACAAAGGAGGAAAGATGAAATATATGGTACATATTAAGTACACGATTGGCCAGACCAGCGACGCCTACAATCAATAGCGTTAAACAGCAGTGTATGCAAAAACCGTTTTCCCAATACATGTACAGTTTTTACTTTATAAGGTCGCGTTAAATCTGGCCGCTTCCATCGCATCCAAATCTGAAAGCGCGAAATTGTAGCTATAAACGTTTTTTTGCTAAAGTAGTACAGACTAAGCGTAGTTGCTCACGAGTACAAAGACGCCGGCGGCAATGGCCAGCCAGTTAACCGCGGAAAAGAAATAAATCAGTGAAAAGACGTTCCCAAAGAACAAGTATATCAGGGAGAGGATGGCCGTGAAGATGATGGCCGGTATCGGCGTGCCGCGGTCTGCAAAATTTTTAGCCTTGGCTTTAACGGTAGTTATTAGTTTATTTTTTTTCTTCCGTCTTACACATTTGGATCATTCCAAGCAGTTGCGGTAATTGATGTTCTTTGGCGCCCACCTACGATATTAATCTTGTAAACATCCAGTACGGCGTTTTCACATCCATTACGTGGCAATAGGTTTGCAATGCAGATCTAATGAAACCGATCCACGGTTTCTGCAGTAAAATTTTAGGACGAAGAACATTTTCTGTTGAATTGGTTTACCCATAAAAGGCGGGCCGACGTGAAGACAATGCCATTGCCGGCGCCGAACGATGACACGGCCACCAGCAGCGACATTAACCAGGCCAGCGGACCGTACAGGATGTTAGCAAAGGTAAAGGGCACGGCGGCGTTCTCGCGCATCTCATTGGCGGAGATGGTGGTGAAGAATGCCACATTGGTCAGGAAGTACAGTGTGGTGCAGAGAAGGCACGAGATAACAAGCGCCCGTTTTAGATTCCTGTGGAAAAATAGTTCATTAGAAAACTAGAGTCTGTAAAGCGCGTTCTTTCGGAGCCAACTATATGCGTCTGCAGATATCAGTAAAATAATCAAGTAGCGTACTTGTGTGGTCTCTTTACTTCTTCGCTGACAAAATTGAGGGAGTTCCATCCGTAGTATGCAAAAAGACAGCGGTAAAAGGCCACCGATACGTCGTAGGCACTGTGCGTTGTTCCGGCAAAAGGGTTCTCGAAATTTCTTGTTTGCCCTGAAAACTGACAAAATTGTACGAGCTCTGCGCAGCAAAACAACTTTAATATTTCATAAATAATATATATTGGGTATAATCAGATCGTGTAGTGTGAACTGTGACCTTTGATTTTATTTAAAAAGCCACAACCACCAGAGAAACGTTTTAGAAGGTTGACGCGGTTATGCACTTTTAAAACCGCAAGTCATCTAAAGAAATTTTTAATAAGAAACTGTTTTAATGAAATAAACATTTCTTTTCCATTTTTGAAAATTTACAGCGTCCTCGCAGAAGTACGCGCAAGCAAACTTACCTAAGCAAAGCTGTACAAATCCAGTGACAATAACACAAACCAATCCCTGTCAACAAACAACAACCAGTCAATATTGTTAAGATGTTATTTAATCTACCATTAAAAATTGTATTCAAAGTTTTGCCTTACCAAGACTTTAAAGATCGTCAGGACATTCTGTGTAGCCAGAGCGAGCTGGACATCCCAACAGTTGACCAACGTAAGGATCACTGAAAGAAAAGAAAATCCGTTCAGCTCTCCTAAGATGCAATTAAAAAATTACGAGACAGTAGAATGGCGGGCTACCCCTTTAAGCGCTCAGTTTAGATTCTGTAATCACATTGCAAGAGCTTTTACGCGCGTTGAATGCGGAAGCGTAATCAGGTCATTTCCGGACACATGGTAGCAATTTGCGGCAGCCGCAACGATTCTCAGCTATAGCTTCCTAACCGGGCCACCATCCAGTAAAATCCCATGACAATATTTTGATTTATATGAAATTTTGCCAGTATTTGGTAAGAAATCGTACATATTAGAGCCATTAGTTTCTTCGCTTATTTTTTAAAATAAACTTTCAATTAAACAAATTTTTGCCTGGAAAAACGTGCCTTGCGCTTTCACAATCTTGTTCACAAAAACACGGTAGATGATTTATAAGTTTTGCTAGTTTTCCATTCCACGTTCCTCTACTATCGTTTCCCGGCTATTTATTTAACTGTGTAATATAATTTTGTCAATAAATCAGTGAAAACGTTCTAACTTCCTTCAGCGATAGAAACATTCCTTCCTACTTGGATTACATGTTACAAAACCAACAAGCGGAAAGCCCGGCGTATCACACCGCCCCATCTGAACAACACTCCAAGGTCAACGCGCCGCCATAACACAGCAAGCAATTTTTCACGACGAGAACAACAAAAATGTCAACGGTTGGTGGAATATTATCCCCGGCATATACAAATTCCCGGGGGTCGATTTCCTCCGCGCCCGCAAACCCGCTTCCCCTCCCGCTCAACACAAATGACATGTCTACTTGACGTGAACATTATCCCGCTCTTGCTTATTACTCGGGGGAGGCATTGTCGGCAGCGCGCCACAGGCAGTGAAGCATTAACCGGCACAAATTCCTATAATATACAGCTCGGTACAGGGAGAACGCACAAGTGACTTACGGATGCACACAACGGCCAGCGTGATGGTCGGCGCGGATGAGGGCACATCGGCGTAGAACGGCTGCAGGATGTATTGGGCAAACGTTAACGCCACAATGGTCTGGCATCCTGTGTGTGTTGGAGCAACGGAAGGAAATGGGTTATGTAATCACATCACTGTCTTAACACTACACTGCGCCCGCTAATCATCGATGTGCGGGTGCCGGCGTGTTCAACCAACACGACAGAGTAGTGATTTACATGGCAAAAAAACTGGATTTGTATGGAAAAGTCAAAAAGTCACAGAAAAAACTATTAGCTTATTGTAAACAGCTTATAATGACCGCACAAGCTGATAATGATGTGACGATGGAATTTGGAATAAGAAGCAAACGAATTTGTAAAATAATAGTTGTGGCGTAAAAGGAGGAAAACCTGGTTTGAAAATAAAGTGGACCTCAAATAGTCACATATCTATTTATTATTTTGTTAACTATTTTGAACTTATCGGTCTTTTTTTAATATTTTGCCAATTATTTAAAACCGAATGAATTTATTATCATTTTTAAAAATTATCAGCATAATTTAACTGTTATTGATTTTGCTGAATTTGCTTACATTATGTTTTTGCAAAACCAGAAAATTTCGGATTGAAAATGAAAAAAAATATTTAAGGGAAATGCATCTGTAGTAAAATAGAACAAATATTCTTAACTTTAAAATGTCAAACTACGTTTTGTCAAGAAATTCAGAGAACTGGGGAAATTCTCGATGATCGAGGGATGCGGTTTAAAGTTGTTTTATTGATTGTATTAGCATGACAATTATTCTTCCATCGCCTACCCGGTCGAATAATCAAACACTCAATCCACAGTCTGACGAAGGCCAGAAACGGTCCAAAAGCTGTGTGTACCGAAGGGGAGAGAAGAAGAATAACATTGACTAGACCGGATGTGCATGTGGATATTTAAAGAAGCCCAGCGCAATCAATATCACTTTACCTTCGTAGATGTAGGCATAATCCGCGCCACTGCAAAAAAACACACATATTGATTGCGCCCATCAAAGCGCGGTTGATGGTTTTTTGTGCTGTGTTTATTAGGGAATGTGTCTGAGGATACTGCACAGCTCCCCCGGCGTCACGATCAGGGCTGCACACAATCGATGGAGCTGTCACCCGGGACGCTGGATTGAGCTTGAAAAATCACTCCGCTTTTCATAATGAATGCTTTTCTTGTTGCGCAACCCGGCAGCAACATACACAACTGCCCCGAGTGTATATCGCCAGAAAGGCGATCGTTTTAATGAAGAGCAAACTATTTTCCCAACATCAGCATCGTGTGAGAAAATCGTTCCGCAAACAGCGCACGGCTAATTCTTTCACTAAAGTCTTCTACAGATGGCTAGTTTTGAGCTGAAAAGGCAAAGACAAAATTTTATAATTGCTTTAATAAATTTTTTTCGTTAAGTATCTTGATCGAATATTCAATTTTTTATTTTGGAATTTGGAAAAAACCTTTTTTTATTAGATTTTTGAACCCTGGTTCTTCTTTAACTCTCGCAGTGTGCTCTGCACTTTATTGTTTACGCTATATATTACGAACATGTACTGTATTTTAACAACATTATACGATAACTGATTTAGTGCAGCGGTTAAATTTCCCTGAGAATAGTTTCATGTTTTTAAAAAAAGGGTTCGGATGGTATTTTTCGAAGAATTTTTAGTGGTGTTTCAGATAGTGAAATCACCGGATTCAAGGAATGCTACTAACTTAAGAGAGACATTAGCCTTAACCATATTATATTGATTTCCGCTGGAGGAGACATTTAAGCAAATGCCGGGTATATCAAATATCCCAATTAAAAGCATTGCCCAGCCGAATAGCGCAATAGCGCTCCTCCATTAACCTCCATTCGCTGCGGTCCGCGGCTAATTCCCCAACTCCGTCCCTGCACTTGTTCGCTCGTTTCTCCCGTTTGGGTCGTTGTGGAAACTACGACAGCGCCCGGAAAGAGGCCTATTTGTACCAAATTACACCCGGCCCCGGCTGATGAAAGCCAATTTCCAATCGGACAAAAGGCCGTCCTGGCTAAGTAGCTTTCACTAGCATATTGACAACATACATCCCATGAATATTTTAACAAATGCCACTGCTCTCCCACCGACTAACCCATGCAGTGTAGCAGCCTCGAAACCCAATCAGTAAACGTTGACTTTGTCCTATTGATTTTTCCCAGGCAAATATACATATGTCCGTAGTATGTGTTGTGGCCTATTTTTGCCGGGGATTATAATAGGGAGATGCTGCTGATTTGACACCGTTTAATTATTGCGATCAGGCTGATGGATGGGCCAATATGGGGAAATAATCGGCGGGGGCGGTGCAGTGTGGTGGTGTGATGTAATTGCCGATTGTTTACAAATTGTGCCAGCGTTGCGTGTGAGCAGCATATTTACCAGTAGCATTTAAAATTAATATAATTTTAAATTTTACAGTGAACTCTACGGCATAGAGTCTATTAAACCTATTTTCAAAATAAAACAAAAATCAGTCTATTTAAAAATTAAAATGATTGGAAAAAAACAGTTTGCGCCTAGAAAATTAACACAATTAATAATCGTCACAATTCTTGGCAAGTTATGTGCTTATTTCTTGTTACTACGATGTGGTTCAGTGGTTCCGATAGAAATGAATTAAATATTGTTTATGGCTTCCCCGCAGATCGATTGATTTGCTTTGCCAATAATGATTGAGTTATAGTATTCCCCGCGATTACGAACGCATTATCTAAGGATGTTAAGGGATTTGATGAATGGTTGCAACAGAGCAACGGTATACACACATGCCTGCAGTACCTGCGCTTAATGGATGTGCCCAGCTCAGCGTAGCATAGAGCGCCCAGGAACGAGTAAAGTCCACACGCGATCCAGATAATCAAGGCCAAACCTACGCTTCCGGCGCCTTTTAATACCCCTATAAACGGAAACTATAAAATCCCTATCTCGTGTTACATCATTCAGCCGTCAAAATGAGCGTGTTGTATCGGCCACAAATTAAAAATAGGAGGGGATTCTACAGATAAATGCATACCATTTAAAACAAAATCAGAAAAAAATAACAACAACTGTTTTGGAAACAAAAAATGATTTAAAGACAAAAATATGCAGGTAATTTATATATACTGTACATCGAAAATCGGCACAGCAATAAAATTTTATAGAGGCTAGGAAAATGTAAAACATGCAAACACGTGAAGCTGTGCTGCAGTTTATACACAATGAATCTGAGCACTGCTTGTAAAAATAAAAAAATTAAATAATATCACCATTTTACTTCTGTTGGAATTTTATGTATTTCAAGATTTTGCCACAGTATTTTGGAGTTTGTTGTCATCCGAAGTAAAATGTAATCTGGATTCTACAGAAAACAATTTCTCATTAACTCTAGCGCTGCCACACTCACCACTGGGCGTAATGAAAATCCCCGATCCGATAATGGTCCCGACAATAATACAAATGCCGCTGGCCAGACTAATCTTGGCCGGCAACAGCTGATCCCCGTTACCGGCACCGGTCGCCTGTTTTTCCCGACCCTTCAGATGATTATTCGTGACATCATGCTTCCAGCGTGTTACCGTTAACGTCTCCACTGTCTTGGGCATTGTGCTGCAGAGACTCCTGTACAAGCGTGGCGGTAAAGGAAATTCAGTAATCTTTTATGTCCACATCACGCCAACTGGATTATCCCCGGGCGCGCGCGTCATGTACCGGCATCCGATTAGGCATAACGATGAACACGGGAAGTCAGGCGCAAATCCGACATCCGGATGAGGATGTGCAAAAAACACAAGCACATGTGAATACGTAGATATAAAGGCCAGTGCTGTATATATATACAACTATTCAAGGATAGAGAGAGGGAGAGAAAGAAAGGAACGGGACTGGATTGCGCCCGAGTTGGGGAGTTAATCAAACGGAGACGCCGGATAAGGATGCGGACGATGGGAGGCCGCCTCGTGCCCGGTCGACCTATCAGTGGGGACTGTTGGGCTTTAAACCGGCACGATCAAGAAATCAAATACACGCTGTGTTGTGTGTGCGGAGGCAGTGCGTTAGCGGATCGTGTTGCTGGGCTTTAGGATTTGTGGCGGTATCCAGTGTACGGTTGTTTTCCTACTGGAACTGGCTTTTGTATTGAGGGTGCGTTTGGATTACAGTTCAGACTTGCCTCCATCGATGCAAGCTTGCAACTTTTGCATTAGCTGTGAAAGTGTTTTATTTGTAAGTATTCTTCTTTGAAAAAATCGGCTGGAGTTTTTATGCCGGTAATATGTGTGCTATTATGATGCAGATATTATGGATGTGCGTGTATTACAAAAGTGACTATGTTGCAGAGTTTGATTAGTCCCGGAAAATCGATATCGCATAGGTTTTGATAACCATAAGCTGTATGGAGCGAATCAATAGAGATAATTTATCCACAATCCAGGCACTAACTCAATAAAAGAACTACCGGAAACATTATCCAGACTTTCTGATTGTTCTGTAATCTGCTTTTTTTCCTAGAACAGCTGTTAACCTTGAAGCCTTGAAGGCTGGCTAAAAGTGGCTTGTTTCGTAAAGTTTTGTTCCTTAATTGTACAAAATATGGTATGTACTGTATTGTATGTACATGCACTACAGAAACACAGATCCTGTACAATGTATCCATTTTGTACATCAAAACATAAACAGAAACGAAAAAACTGGTAAAATTTGTCGTAAGATACCACAATTTTTGATGAAGCTTTTAATCTCACTTAAAGAGCTCTAAAATAGAACGAACTACAGATATGTATGACCTTTCCATATCTACAAGCATTTATCCGAGAAACCAGTTGCCTTGTTCCGGTTGTTGGCTGCTTTGTTGCACCACCGTCGACGTGACTACGGTATCAGTCTGCTTTATACACCGCAGGCTTCCGAGATCTCCTAATGCGATGATGGAATTTCGAGGAATCGGTCTTCCACTCACAGGGGTCACTGGAGAAGATCGAGCGCTAAACCAGCGATGATTTTGGTGTAACGACCTCTTCTTCTTTGAATCAACGGAATCAGCAACTGATGGAAGCGCCAGCCGGGGAGTTTCTACGGAAATGCATCGAGGCAGAAGAATGATGGAAGGAATAGAATCCATATCGGGACGGCCCAGAATGCGAATCATCGGCACTGCGGTGACCACCAAGCTTTCGGTAAAAAGAAAAAGCAGAACAAACTCTCGCAACATGATTACCATTTGCGCGCTCGTCGAGGCAAAAAGAGATACCTTTCGCACAAAATGTAATCGTACTAGAAAGTGCTTCGGACCAGGCGTCTCTCGAACGACCAACAAAGCGAGGGCTTAATAAAACGCAGTGAAATCCCTATTCGTATTTATACGCACAGTTCGCGAACGTGGGGTTGGGGTCGCGGGGCACGCCCCTTGGGGTTGCGGTTCGTTTCCCGTGTGGTTATTCTTCGCAGCCAAAACATTAATTTTCTCCTCATCACCTACTTTAGCCCTTTCGTCCAACTGACGTACAAATTTTTCATTACGATATTTTCTTGATTGTTGTGTACCTAGATAATGGAATGTTTGGGTCTTGTAATTTCCTTGGTTTCTTAGTTTCTTAGCAGAGCAGCTGTAAAAATAGCTTATGCTGGAAATATTTATGCAGGTATAACCGTAACAATAATGCTACCATAGTATGATTGATGCTGCATTGGTATATGCAGACTGCAGTTACACCGTCTGTAAACAATAATACATATATCCTTTGCCGACAACAAGACTTCACAGAAACCGTGCTCGTAGGAGTCGGTATCCCGCCTTGACCTTTCCGGCTTGACGCATGCGCTGGATGTAATGAAGGACACGTGCATTGAGTTGGCTATCTTGACAAACCACGATTAGCGTCAGCACTGATCTTTCTAACGCATTCCATTGATTGTATACACAAAGATTAGGTTACGAGTCCATCTAAACACAGAAGGAAAGGCGCAAGCGAACGCAATCGAAAACGCTGGCTTAAACCATCAGAACTTTCCGCTACGCCTTGTGTAGGAGATACTGCGTCGGCATGAAGAAACAATAGATAGGGTGCGCCTTATCTTGTTGTGCTCACTAACGCAGCCTGAAATACGGCCACTGCATTGTGATAGTCACATAGTGTGCCATAATATATCTGTAATACTTTATACTATGTAGTTGTTTTGCTAGTATATTCGTACATGTATTTGTTTTACTAACATAATTACATTGGTCTGACTTCCAATGCGTAACCCTTTCAAGAATGCACTACTCCGTATTTACACAGATAAGCAGTAGGTTTACAAGGTCTTTTATACAACAAAAATAGCAAGCACGTGCTAACGATTCATTACGAGACAAAATACTCAGTCATCAATGCCATTGTAAGACTTTAATTTTGCACAACGTTCTTCTTCGATATGGCTTATTTAGCTATTAACTATCTTAAGCGTTCATCTACTTTTCTTCATCAGTACCAAAAATTTATTGCTGTATATCTTACATTTCACGCAAAACAAAAGCAGAAGAACAATCACAGCTCATTGCAGTCATTGTGTCAACACTCGCAACAGCGAGTGATCCAAATAATCTAGTTAAGTTTTTTGATAACGTGCGACACCAGTACCGCAGTAAGAAACACCGGCAGACAGTCAGACACTGACAGAAAGGTAACGCTAGGCAAGCATCACCACATACAAGTGTAGTTATTCACCAACGGTCCATATAATTTACATAATCACGGGTTAACCCAGAAACCAGTTGCCTTGATTTCGTGGCGGTCGTGTCACAGGCACCGGTGTGGTTGAGGCTGTCTTGAGATTGGTGAATTCCCCCAACGCCACAAGGAAACTCCGGGGCACCGGCTGACCGGCCGCCGTTGACAGGGCTTGGTGGCGTCGATGGTTGTGACCTTTGGCGGCGCCGTAATAGTGTACACCACGGGGAAACGGTCGTTTGGCTAAATCGGGATTGGTGAGGTAAAGAGAGCGGTATGGCGCATTCTGTACAAGGATGAGCGACGGAGCCGAATTCGGGATGGATTCATCAAACATATGGAAGACGGGTGCGCCGCGCACCGTCCAACATCCACAAAGAACAACAAGGAATACTGAGAGAAACATGACTACAAATGTGAGTTCTAAAGCCGGTAAAAGAAAAGTGCGACGCGATGGGTTTTTCTGGCGCACCTTTATACAGCATTACCAAAGTTAGCTAACGAGTAACCGACCACCCACCGATACCGCTGGACGGCGAATGAATTAACTGAGAAACATTGCCGGAATATTGTGCTTATGTAGGGTCGATATTAATGTGAAGTCATAGCGCGCTGTCACACCCGGTATTATTCCTGCTTTTCCCCGAACACAATTGTCCGGTCCGCGGAATGCCAGGATAAGATTCCCAGTTTGAATTATCGGGATTATCACATGGCGCATAACAGTGGGGAGCTGTATTGTTGAGCGTAGCCAGGGCGGGCCGGTGGGCGGATAAAAGCGGTAAGGACTGTGAGCGGACGACGTGCGCAGTTGGTGAGCGGATCAGTTTGCACACATACCTGCCCACACTTTAATTTCTTTTCACACTGGCCTTTCCGGTTCGCCAGAATACTTAACGGATCAGTCTTTTGCAACAGCCCCAACACAGGCGTCGTAGTAATGTATCGGGTGCTTGGAATACGTAATTCAGCCTTGAGCGCAATGATCCCTCACCGACAACGACGCTCCCATATAATCCCTGTACTTGCGTCGCCCGGCTAAGGGTGCGCGCAAATCCGCACATAAGCGCAATTTCAGGCGCCACGTCATATTTTACAGCCGTGTGACGGCAGCACGTACAGGGATTAATTTGGTCCGCCACTCGTAATCCTTAGTTAATGGTTTTATATGTACTCCACCTGGAGCGTGTAGGTTGCGGTTACGTAATCGTTATGCTGATCGGGACCATCGTTAAAGGGAACTTGAGACATCTCATAGAGTGTTTTGTGTACGTACTGCACTATGACAGCCTTCAAAGGTTGCTTTACGCCTGGATGACTTTGACGCAAGTGCGAAGGTCTTTCGTTTGCCTAACAATGGTCACGAATAAAGGATGGAACTTATAAAAAGCCCAAAATCGGCCATCATGACGCAAACGCCAAGGAATAAATTTTACCCGGTCTGGCACCGATATGTTCTAAGCCGTTTTCGACAACAGTGCACACTGGAAAACGATATATTTTGGTATCAATAATTAAAGTAATAATTACTTGTTTTCCCGTCACGTTTCAGACAGAAACGTTTTTTTCTGCTCCAGTAGTGCTAATACGGTACAGTCCGGGATATTAAGCGTAAAAATTCATTAAGCAGCAGCTTAACTAGCTGGGCTGTGAATATATCTGTATTTTTTACTTTTCCTGCAGCACAAGGTAAATAATACTTACGTTGCAGTATTCCATTGTAATACGCATACTCCATAGTGCTGTAGTATTCAGTAGGTACCAAAACTCTTGGCTGTTTTAGTCGTTCTCAGCTCAGTAGCGTTTAGAAAGCAAACTAACAAGCACGCTTGCATTAAAAATTTTATGAAATAAAGAAATGGCCTCTAAATGAACAGCACTCGCTGCACTGGGAATTCGCATCACGCGCTGGTAACGGCGTCGCCTTCTGGTCAGCTGCGAATTTGCAGGGCCAGTTTGGATAAATACTAAAGATAAATACTTTTCGATAAATACTTTTATCTATCTAAAAATTTTCAGGCGAGATGCTGTGGCCATAAAGATAGTCTGGGCTGCTATTGCCTACTTGTACGGGCATGTGTGTTCTGTTCCCGCTATCCACTTCTCTCAAACATGCACCACCCGAACAATTAAACAAACGATCGTTATTTATATGAAGATATTTTAATCCGACACTTAGGGAACCGACATCCGAGCAGTAATATCTACGTAGATATACCCGTGATAATTATGGATCCAAATAAAGATCTAGCGAATTAAGGAACTTATTATTAACTATTTTAATGCGAGGAATATATGCTCAGCTCAGGGAAGGAGCACCATGCTCCGAGTGATTCCTTACAGATAAATTACCAGCCGAATAACCATAATCACGGTATGACGGTGCAGATCTTATATAAATTTCCTGTTTCTGTTATATTACAAGTGTGCTTTGTTCTTGTTTCCCCGCCGATTTGACGCCTGAGGAAATGAGCTTGTGTTTCGAGCATTTGTGCGATTCCACAATAAGCGGACATCGAAAGTTCAGAACTGCCTGACCGACTTCGCTTGGTTCTCCGTCCTTCACAGATCCGTACATTCTGCAGTTTAAGGGCATTCGGCCTCAGTTCTGACAACTGAAGAGCGAGAATTATGTTGAGTCAGTCTGACGTAATTACCGTCATTAGCAGATGATCTGCGTGCTTCAAAAGAACAGTTTCGCATCTCTAAATAATCACAGAAAATACTGGCATTGCGTGCATTCCAGGCAATAAAGGGGACTAAAATAGCAGGATGTGAGTAGTCTTTACAACGGAGATGCAGACAGGCTTTGTCTCAGTCAACAGTTGCGGGGGATTTGACACCGGCATTACTGGCACATAATTTTAAATAATTTCCTAAACGGTTCCTGAGTATTTCTTTGGCTGATGTTACCTGCTGGGTCATGCTTGCAGTTTTCTGTTTGGTCATTGGGATAGGCTTTAGATGACCTCGAACGAAAATTGAACGGAAACCGCATGGTCATTTCCGCAAGTTGACCTTTAAGATACTGTCTCGCTTATTGCGTGGCGCATAACGGTCTGTTGAAAGCAACGACGGCGAAACGTGCTTTAATTTAATTATCCTCTAAGCACTTCGCTCCTTTCCTTCGCTTCGCACGTTCTCTATGACCTGAACGGTGTACGATGAGGATTGTTATAACGTTGCGGTGGACCCTATTTTTTGTGGTCTTTACAGCATTGATCACTCCCCTAATATCTGGTAAGAAATCGTTTCATGGTTTTGCGGATACACACGTATGAATTCTGTTCGTTTTGCAGAGCAGTATAACGACTTCGAAGGCAGAATGCCTGGTAAAAGGTCACCATTGAAATTCATTGAAATTCCCATGCCGCTGGCTATAAAGGCACATAGTCCGCGAGTCCGTTGCTTTAGACATCAACGTCCGCCAGTTCAACTGAAAAGACCAAAGACGAAACACTTCTCCAGGCTTGGGTGGGATGCTGTTCAAAGTTCCTGGTTCACAGGCTGACAAACATATCGCATACATCAATGATGTTCTGATTTCAACAAGCAAATTATTATTGTTAACCTGTACACTGTACTCTTCCGTTTTTTTTAAAATTACAGTACGGTAGATACCCGCTATATGATTCTGTGCCAAAACCACGTTGCTGCATTGTCAGTCTTTTCAGCATGTGTCTACGTAGACAGTAACAGCTCCCAGCAGAGGCATTTCAAACATTTGTCGCTTAACCTTTGTTTTGCTGTATTTTTATGCATTTCGTCCTGGAATAAAGTTTCGAAACAGATTGTTATATAAAACACTGATACAGGGGAATTCAACGGCTGAGGCAAGCACTCCCTGTACTTGCTGACGTCACCAGGCTGGAGTTTTACGTTATGGCTAAACAAGGTGCTTATGTACCGCGTCTGATTTAACCATACGTAGTGCCGTAACTTCCACTCCAGCCGTGGTGACGCCAGCAAGTACAGGGAATGCTTGCCTGCGCCTCTGAAAGACCCTTATATGTACCATACGTGTTTTCATGCAAATAAACTGTGGGGACTTTGGGTAGCGGTTGGTTGTTTTGCAAAGCGTTTCACCAAAAGTGTTTCACAAAAGAGCTCTTCATGCAAACGAGTGGCACCACTAAACTAAGTAAGCGGCAAAACGCTAAGTTACATCGGTGTCAGCTGCAGCACTCACAATCCTTGGACACAGAATTTTCTTCAGTCTGGTAAAGCAAAATCTTTCATAAATTAGTTTTTCAAAAACGAATCAAGACTAATAAAACTGATTCTGGTTAATGGTGTAGTTCTTGACGCCCATCGGGTAGCTTCACCTGTTTCCGTATACGGCTGGCGTGGACTGTAGCTCACGATTAGCGAGAAAAGGGTATTAATAGCTGGACGCCGATAGAGGCATCCCACGCTTCTGCATTCGCACCCCTATCCACAAAATTACTGTATTAGCATAAAATCTCTGTTCTATTCAACATCTGGCCTTTGCGTGCCGACAACATCCGGGATGCAGGCGGTCCACGTCGGCATAAAATCCCCAATCTCAACGTAAAAGTCGGCGACTACTGTTAATTTCGCTCCACTTCCATCCAGAGTTGTCGTTTTGTGCAGTTGTCCGGCTGATTCAGCGTGAGCCGACCCCATAAAGCATCACATTATCAAAGCGAGTACGTAGAGTCTGCTCTCTTACTGAGTTTCTCTTCACATAGGTTGGATAGATTTTCAACAGCGTTTATCATTACCATGTCCGGTAGTTTATGATGGGTCGGTGGATATTCTCCTGCACTATTCTCATGTTATTTCTGACCGTCGGGCTCGCCATTTCCGAATTCAATAACGGTAGGTCAAACTGCACTGTTATTAAGGAATTCTAATTAAAAGATCGCATTAATTAAGACAGTTTTAAGGAATGTGGTTTGGTTAGTATGTGTAAAAGGTCATTGTATGGTTTGGTTAGTATGAAAGGTCAAATTGATTGCTTTGCGAATAACTAAACGAAAAAATTTTAATGCTTTTGTTGTAACCTCTTCGGCGCACAGTAAACGTACTATTTGATTTCAAACAACCAGTTCCAACCATTAAGTACGCATGACTTTGTGCAGACTGTGGAAGCCATGGAGATTTCCTCTGTCGTCTACTGCGCAAAAGGTCACCATTACGATTCGTGGATTTGCCGATGCCGCTGCTGTCACCGCCGTCGGGAGCCCGGATTCGGCTGTCATTTAGCAGTAAGATGCGCCTCCCCATGAGAATCACCGAGAGAAAATCCAAGACACCGTCGCGCTACGGATGGGATGTTGTTCAAGGAGCATGGTTTATCGGCTGATTCACACCTGATAATAGTTTGAAAAGCCCTTTACAAAAGGTTATAAGGCAGACTTTGTATAATGTACATACTGTTTTTCATCTTGCGAGTTCATTGCTTGGCCCCATTTTAATTTGAGTGAGGTTAACTTTCTACTTTGAACTGCCTTCAGAAATTAAGGATAAGAATGGTATGGACGATTTTTACTGCTTGCGCTTAAGTGGAATTGCACTGTTTGCACAAGTAAAACAAGTTTCCAGAAATGTGTGTGGGTCGGTCACTTGATTGCCCTACGTACAACGCAGTGCCTACAGTAGCATCGTAAAATTTTAAATGCGCGAGTACAAAAAAAGAAAATCAATTTGAAATATGTAGTTATGATACGTGTGCGGAATTAAGAAGAAGCGGTGCGTTGCAGCCTGACTTAATTATGTTTTTAGCAGTTTACCTCGTGACCTTAGATTAAAAACTACAGTTTTTTGTGCTACCTGCTTTGGTGATAGGATCATAAATATAACCACACCGATATAAACATTATGAATGTAATAGTGGTTTGTAACTTTGTGTTTAAACCATCACTGTCGTTTGATCGTTTTTGCTGTGATGCTGGGAGAAAGGCCCAACAGTTAACGGCCTCGATCGAAACAAAACCATGAGCAAACCCGGAGAATCGCTCCATTAGCGGAATGGTTTTGCTGCAGGGTTCACACTGTGCTGTATACGCATTATACTAACACTGTACTGCATTACTTTTCAATGTGAACACTTCTTTGAAATGTTTTCAGTGTGAATCTATATTTTGTCAGTATTTTGTAAAAATTAAAATTACGGCCAGTTGTGAATGGCATGGCTAGTCGCGGGCTTACGGAACTTGGCGCCGGTGCATGTTGTTGTTGCTGGTGGAGAACAATAGTTTCTATATCATGTGATCTCTTAATTAGCATGGCCATCACGCCCTGTATGGCTTGAATAGAAACCGCTATTATACACGACTGCGCTGATATTCAAAATAGTCAGTCATTAATCTGAGAAGGCAAAAGCGTTATACAGATACCAAACAATATCAGAATACTGCAGAATCTGATGATGAAGATGTCTTTCAGTGTATTACGCCATTCAGCCACTCCTCCCACGTGTGGTAAGACCGGCTAACGGCAGGGAAGCCGGAGGATATGGATGGTAGATATTTGTCAGCTAATTGTTCTCTGAAGGTGAAGGATGGAACCCTACTGACTGCTCACGAGCTGGATAAAGACGAGCGGTGCATCAGCTGGCATCTCCTGCTTACGTGCACCGCTGATGAATGTAAACCGTTACGGGTTTCCCGTTCATTACCGATTTTTATCAATGGTCACATTACTTAGCAAGAAACATCCCGATAGAGCGAACGCTTCATATACACAGTGAAGTGCCTAATCTCGGGTTCACTCATGGGATTCGTAGATGCTGTAAATGCTCCCAACTATAATGTCTACGGGTGATTTCTGCCAGGAAAAAAGCGCCTTTAATAGCAAATTTATTCGGCGATATGTGTCGTTCTTCTTAAAACAATTTGTGTCTCTTTCTTCAACATGCGCGGACAACTTGTGGGTTAATCCCTAAGGATTTGCAAATGATGGATTTCAGTAAAGCGTTCGATCGATCGAGTTGGGATGATTAAGTGAATCTTTTAGAGAAGCTAGCACAACATGTGGAACAGTTCGGCAACGAACTACAGCGAATCTGCTGCCGGACCGAACCGGCAGTTTACCGCCAACACCAGCCAGTTTGTCGTCCTGGTTATCGCCTTCCTCCTCAACACCGCCGTCCTCTCGGCTATCCTCCTACGGGTGACCTTCCGCACGCCTTTCAACCTCATCCTGGCCAATCTCTTCTTGGCCAATTTATCCTATATCCTCATCCAAGGCGTCTTCTGCTTCCAGAACGCCTTCTTAGAGCGCGCGGCCTGGTACATTCCCAGCAACCGTATGGGGTACGCCTACGCGATCCGTTACGCCGGAATCGTGCAGGTCCTGGCGCATGCCGGGATCAGTATCAACCGCTGTTGGGCGGTCACGTGGCCTTACAGTTATCAGCGGCATTTTCACAGTCGGACATCGGCGGTGTTTTGCGTTGCAGTGTGGATCTTGGGGCATTTAGTAGCGCTCCCGCGGGTTTTTACCGTGCTTAAGTACCGCGGGATGCCAGATATCGGGGAGGATGCGGTACAGACGACGATTGTACGCTTTACCGGGGTGTTTATCGAGATTCTCGTGTTGGTGATGTTCCCGTATATCTGGTATAAGCGTACCCAACTGTTGCGGAGGATATCGGCGGCTGTTAAGGGCATCGATCCGCCGAGTACCATAATGCATTCGGTGCAGCAGCTGCAAATTCAAGGTATTTTGAAATGTGTTAAACAGTTGCCGTAACTGAAAATATTCAGATGTCTATAGTTTGATTATAATAAGTTTTGTTTTAAAATATAGAAACTTTAATGAAATTGAATAAACACTTTCGTTAATTCTACCACCCAGTACATAATAATAATAGTATTTTTAGTTTGCTACGAATTACCGTGCCAAAGAAATTAAAATATTTGTTCAAAAATGGAGCAATATGAAGGCAACATAAGCAAGGCTGATTCACATATAACATCTTTACAACGCAACCTACAGTGACCTCTTTCAAAGTAATCGTATTTGAAACTGCGGAAGCATTAAAATTGTTTGCAAAACAGACATATTTATACCAGTTACATGTGCTTGCTCATCCAGGCTTGAGAACTTCGGAGAGGTCCAGCAGTTTCATTCTGCTCATCCTAACAACACTCAGTTTAACGTTAACCTGGACACCGGGCTTCGTCGCTGAAGCGACCGCCGGATTCCATCCGCTCCTATCTTCCCTGCGCGCCTGGTGTGCGGTAGTCTACGCCTTTCAAGCCGTACTGGACCCCCTGCTCTTCGCCTTTATCGTCTGGGAATCGCAGAAATACGTGAGATCAGCTAGAAACCGTCTCCACCAGATCGGCGGAACTCCGCAGCATTTTTGAAATACAATATAGAGTGTGATAGCATTAAGCAGATGAAACTGCAGCTTAGTACTGCAGCATAACTTTCACGGGGGAAACTGCCGTAAAAACAGGTTTATTTGTGGTGAAATCGGTATGCAGTAGAATATCGATGTGTCGTGTTCGTGTTAGGGTTGCGGCGCTGTTGCCTGCCATGTGCGCATTACAAACGTACGGAAGCAAACTCTTCTCAGCATGTGTGTGTATTGTGATATAAAAATTTATTTGCTTTGCCGCGCAGTTTGCACCGTTAACAACTGAGTTATTCAACTCCATTCTAATAAAAATCCATTAGCATGCAAAATACGTGGTTTATTGCCCAATACCCAAGGCTAATCTTATGGAACAACCGTGCAATATGGCCTGTAGTACCGCCACAATATAAATCACTCTCCTAATAAATTTCCTGGATTTTCGCTAAGCGGAACGCACGATGACGCGGCTATCTTTTGATGTTTTGATAGCAATCTGTTGGATGATCCTTTTAAATAAATCATGTAAAGGTATGTATACATTACGTTCGTGGTAATACTGCAGAGATAAAGAAATCCATGCCTGCTGTACGTGTATCTTGGGAAACAGGATCCGGAATGTACTGCTGGGATTGCGGACGCCTACCCGACTATCCCATCGATAAATACATTCCCTGCCGATTCAATCAGGAGCAGCTGAGCACGCCGGATCAATGCCATCCCAGTGCGCGATATTGTTTGGTACATATACGTCTTTCTTTGTAACGATTAGCAATTTAACCAGTTGATACTGTCTATGCGGGAATTATGCATGCAGTCCTGTAAAGTTAACGGATTTTGTAGACGGCGGATATTTCCCCGCTGGATGAAAGCGCTGAGCCCTACTACATTCAGCAGTGTTCTCGGTCGTGTACTTCCGGTTCAAGTAGGTTGTGTTTACAATTTCGTACATGCGTGTACATACGTACATGTGTATCTATTAACGTTAGTGCGAGTCCGCACAGGCGGATTTTTATGATTTTTTTGTTGCTCATAGGCGTTGACAGGGCACGCAACGTCCGGGTGACAACATTCTGCTGCCAGGATCACGGGTGCAATACCCATTCGGGTTCTTCGCAATCTTTACCCGGAATATTTTTAATTTTTTTGGGAATAGTTTTTATACGGCTTTTCTTTTTCGGCCGACCTTAGAGCACTTCCGGTGCGATATAATTTTTTTAAAAACAGAAACGCTTATAAAGCCTTCTGATTGTCAGTATTATTTTTGTAATTCCATATAAAAGAATAAATGACTGTGCAAAAACGGAAGACAAAGGCAATAAAAAAAACGATAAATTTAATTTCTTGCTTGCTTGCTAAATTTCTTTGAGCGTTTGTTGGATCCATGACAGGTGTTTTGCCACGTTAACGTAGACGAAGTGGTTGTTGTCGCACCTGCAAAGACTTTTGCTCTAAATTTCTTAACAATTAATTATTTTTATTTGGCCGATTTAAATACTGGTCACTGGCCTTTTTTAGAATTATTGCTGTATAATTCAAATGAAGTTTGATTTCTATAAGTGTTTTTGTTGGTTACATATATCCCCATTACCGTCTAAAGCGAAGCGCTAATTTTCCTAAAAACTATTTTAATAAAGTCTTACTGAAATGTTCGGAGTGCCAAAGTTGCGATTCCCAGTTGTACAAAGTTGTCCGTTGTTTTATCATGGACTACTAGCGGACTTCCTACGTATCCCTATTAAAAAAAAGCAAATCGAATTATGTTAATAAATTTGTATAGTGCAAAATGTCGATCAAACTCTTTCATTACATCGCACGGTTTCATCGGCTTTTCCAAATCGGAGCACAATATCTTCTCCGTTATGTTCTCCGCGGGCGCATTGCTGTCTAGATAAATCCCCGACATCCTTTATCGCTTTCCATAATGTGGCCGTTTATTCGTTGGACCGTCACACCGGTGTCGGTCGCGTACGGATCTATTAAAAGATTACTGCTCCTTACTACTGTAATTCGCTCTCTCTTCGTTTCCCGTTTTCTCCTTTAGTAAAGTATCATGCGTTCATACATAAGGCCGGTGTTACTTAACCTAATAAATTTAACACTCCAAAAGTATGTATGTTAAAGTAACTATGCCCACTGTCCTTGTATAAACGGCAATAAAGCACTTCTCTAGAGCATAGTAAAACATTATAGAAAAATACAACTTGCAAATAACTTTTTGATTATTTTGATCGGACGCAGTATATGCAGTATCCGCGGTTCCACTGTATATGAACGCTGACCTTATGCCAGCGCAAGGCCTTATGCCTTTCCTACAACGAAATACGAAATTTTGCATCACTGACGTACCCCATCCCACAAGTGACCCGGCTGTATCAGGGCACAGCACTTGCTCGCGCGATTCCGGGAGATGGACGAACTCGGTGGCCGCCACCGGTTGGGATAACTGCAGGATGGCAATATCGTCGCCGGCGATTTTGAAGTGCTGCCCCGGAAAAATCTTCTCCACCGGGACGTAGGGCAGGCCGAAGCCGCTGATCTTGTCCACCGCCAGCGCTACACCGTGATTCGCTGCTGGACGCATCGTTCCTTGGTTTCTAAAGTATGCAGCTGGAATATGTTTTATCCGCAGCAGTGTACATAATGTTACGTGTTTGCTTTTATACATTAATCCATTGTAAGTTAGTTAATACTTGGTAAGAGTGCGTAAGTAAAGATCACGTTTTTCGAAATCCTTATATTCTTATAGTACTACCGTATTGATGTCGTAGGTGCTTAGACTTACGGGTCATTGGTGACGCAAGTCCGTGTAGTTAGCACCGCCCGTGCGTTCAGTAATGTACCGGTACAGTACTGACTGTCCATCTCCCCGTTGTCCCCGGCCGGATCCTGTGCCCGAATGTGCACCAGCCATGGGAAATTGTCACTGACAGATTCGATATCTGTATGTATAATAGTGCAACGAAATTAATGCTTACAGAAAAACTTTGTGTATGCTGTAACGAATTTTTACTAGAATACAACAATAAGGAAGGCATATGTACAATATATAGAATATACACAATATACTGATGTACAATAAAGTTGTGCAATGTACAGTTATGTACTATGTACAATACCCAATGTACAATAATATTATACAGTTTTTGGTAAATATGAAATCACACTCAGTTATGGACATCTGAGTTTCACCTGCATGAATAGCTTTGACAAACAGTAAACTGGAAAAAGAACTCTTATAAAAGTATATCATTATGAAATTAGGATGATGAGCTGTATAATTCTGCAGCATCGCGGCAAAACTGTACCTGCATCGATTGGTCCATAACGTTTGCATAATTTGTTGTCCTTTACAGCTACATCATCTGCAAAGAAAAAAAACATAATTGTTTCCACTTCTCAGACACACGTGGACACCTGTTCTTCCTTTGATCCTGTGTGCGGAACCAATTACGTTCTAATTATTCTACAAATATGTGCAAGGTTTAGCCCGTTTAGCATAATCCAGCTTCAGCAATGTGGGTGATCGATAAGAACAATAATTTTGATTTTAGCCGCACCCCGGTTCCGAATACCCTACATTATCATTGCCCCCGGCTGGGTAATTTACACTGTCCCGGGAACCACAAATTTATATACGGGGAAAAAGCAAGTCAACTTCGTTTCCATGTACTGCTGCCGTCAGCCGCCTGGAGTGTGACGTTACGGCAATGCATACGGTTAAATCTGGCGCGGTACATAAGTACCATGTACAGCCACAACGTCAAAAACACCAGCCGGCTAACATCAGAAGTACAAGGGACTGGTTCGGCTAGACTTGTTTCCCCCTATATAAGGTAGCATTTAATTATGTACTTTCGGTATTTGTGGTAATTGGATGTGTTACGATACTGACCTGCATCGATGCACAAATTAGTTTTCAGCGATAAATTTTTCAGACCAACATCTGGATTCAAATAACGCAATTGCGAAAACGTCAGCGGAGGATTATCTTTAGCGATGGCTTCGATTGTGTCGCCATCCTTGGTCAAATAAAATTTTCTACATCCTACACAATAATCACAATAAGCAATCAGCAGCAAAATTATTAAACTTCCTTTACCGAACATTTTGAATGTGCTACAGACACAGTAGAATCTGTTAGCTACTGACTCGTGTCAGCTATTATGCCGGCTTTGCGATGTTTTTTTCTAGCAACTTTTTCCATATTCCTTCAGGTAAAACCGTTACAGCAGAAGCAGCATTTTGATATAATCATGGCTTAAGGTCAATATCAAGCGGTATCGCTTATTGTACGTGATTAGCAGATCAGCTGCTGATTCTTCGCTTTAACAAGAGGCTGTTCTTGGTGCATCATTACAGCATCAGCTAACAACTACATAACAAAATATTGTGCTCTTTCGGCATTGTGTAATTCAGCGCCGGTGGATGTTTACGGCCGATAACGGCGTGTACAGTTACACCATGTGCGCCGGAATGGAGTCAGCGAGACATTGAGCGTGGTGGCAAAGAGCACCGGATCAACGACACACTGCAGCGTATAGAACACCACCAGCCATTCACGGATTTTGCTCATATTTAAATTTTTGTAGTAGGGAAAGAGGATCTCCAGGATAAATGTCGGCGTCCAGTTCAAGAAGATACTCAACGTTAGACAGGCTAATAACAGGAACCGGCGCGGTCTTTTGGGATTTGTCGGATCTGTAAAATTAAAAAAAATAAAACTGAAATAAAATACATAATAATAAAACTAAAATATGTAATTTGCATTTTCCATGGGAAGCGTCTCGTAAAATTAGGACAACGATTAATATGAAAGTTTTGACACACTATCGGCGGGAGAAAAAAGCTGATATATCCCATAAAGCTGGCTTCCGGTTTTCCAGTTTCGTGGATCAATGTCAGATTACTGGTACAGTAAAACCTCTCGTTACATACACTTCTTTATTAAATACACTTCTCTATAACATTCAACATGTACTACAGGTTCTTGTTACTGCCTTAATGTTGCATTTATAAAATACATGTACTGTGACGCCCCCCACCCCAAATTATATCAGCGCCCCTGGGGGCAGTTTCCCTTTATAAAATACACCCCGGTATAAAATACGAAACGGATGGAACTGTGCCTGTATTTTATAGAGAGGTTTTAATGTATCGTATAATTCTAATATTTTGCCCAATCATAGGGGCGCTGTTATAGGACGCATAAGGTTATTCGAAAACAAGCTATTCAAAAACAGGTGTGCCCGTAAGCGTATGTATGTACGAGTAATTATGCAAGCGTTATTATGGTAAAAAGTCGCCACACCTCGCTACCCGATAATCAGAATCCCGAATATAAGGTAAACAACGTAATTGCCCCCTTGCTGCAAGGATCTCAGGATAATTTAAACACGGTAACTTCCTCCTGGTTGGTCACCCTGCGAGATCAATAATCGTAGCTGATCGGTTAATAATTACTATATAATACGCATTTCTTCGTAAGTATCAAGTTATTCTCAGAGAAACATTAGCTGCTGGCGAGGGCTCGCTGAAAGTAGAGTACGATTCCAAACAATGGCGCAAAATACCACTTGTGATACACTTGTTTGAATTATAAACAGACAATATTCCAATAAATAATGACAAGCAAACGTACCGGTTAATGGCGCACCGGATTCCGGCGGTGATCCTTGCTGCTCTGACCGCCGGCGACTATTGGCATCCATGGAGCGTACCTCCATCGGATAGGCCTGCGTGCGCTTGCGCTGCTTCTTCCGTGTAAACCAAATATACGGGAAACTCCCGATAATATACACCACCACGGTCAGCGGAATAAACCGAATCACTGTTGTCCACGTGTAGTTCACCTGCAGCACGGTACTGGGAATGGCGATGATATGGGCGAAAACCCAGATCCCGGCGCAAATACACACCGACGTCTTCTGCGTGTAACAGCGCCGATAGTGGTATGGCCAGGTGACGGCCCAGAAGCGGTTGGCGCTGACCACGGCGTGGGAGAAGACCTCCACGGAGGCGGTGTAGCGAATGATGTAGGCGTAGATTAAGTATGATTTAACGCCCAGCCACTGTAGCCCGCCGCCTTTGGTCATGGCGTAGCTGTAGGGGCTCTCCAGGATGAGGAAGCAGAGGTTGGAGAAGAGCAGGTTGACGACCACGGTGTTGAAGGGGGTGCGGTGGGTGTGGCGGAGGAAGTGGACCAGGGCCAGGGCGTTTAGGGCCGCGGCGACGATGACCAGGACGAAGTGGATGATGAGGAGACAGGGTTCCGCATCGGATACGGGAGGAGTAGTTTGGTTGGAGGAGTTCCCGGCGAGGTGGACACTCGCATTTTCCATGCAGGCGTCCGTAGCAGTCGAATCTGTCAGTTCTCACGAATCAGGAACGTGGGAACAAAGCTACTAACTATTCGGGCGCTTGCATTTGTTGGCACGCTTGAGCTTACATTGGGTCTGAGCGGATCAAAAGGGCAGTTCTTACAGATGTGACAATCCGAATACAATGTGACAATCCGAATCCGAATACGAATAATAATGTAGATTTGCCGGTTATTGGGTAAGCCGGTGCTAATAGCACATAAATACGTGGTTCATCCGTGCAGTCGACTATCAGACGCGACCGGTCAAGCGATATTCAAAAGGATCACAGAAATTCCAAGCGAATCATGCAATTTCAAAAGATGTCTTGACCTTTGAGATCCTATTTCAGATTCAATCAGGGACACAAAAACCTCCTGCTAAAATGCCGGTACGGTGAATTCTGTTTTGCAGCGGAAATTTGTCGTCTGCTTAAAGATACCACCGATAAAAGATTACCGGCAAACGACGCAAGCTTTAAAAATAACACCGTTTTTTGTAAAGCCCAGCATTTGACCAAGAGCTTCTTGATATTCAAGGTAACCACATTTTTTACAGTGACACTAGCATATTGTAAGCTAAACACCGTAGGTGAAATGTCAGGCAATCGGTTTGCGCATCCATCATCAAGATGCGCTCCGTCACACCATCATAATATAGGCATCTCAGGGGATGCTGTTCCGGTTGAGCGGCGACCTCCGTGCCGGCGATAATGACTACCTCAACCCGCTATCCATGCGCAATTAAGCGACATGTCGGACGACGTGATTACGGTACTTTTCCCCGTGAACGACATAATTGGTGACCTTAAGGTGTTTGCTATTGCCAGAGGTAGCGTCTTAACAAGAATTTTTCACCGGATGCTAATTCAGGGACATAAGACCGAGTGTTACAGGAAAGCTTAACGGGAAAACGGGATTGTCTGTAAAATGGCTGGGTACCGCGTAACTTATCAGTGGATTTTTCTTGTGTGGATTTAAGAGAACGGAACTTCGCGGTATAATGTAAAGGCCCGGAACAAGTGTCACGCACGATATCGCACAACCGGGACGTTCGAGAACTGTCGTGCGTAAAATCAGACAAAACATTGTTGCGTCAAGCCAATGACAGGATTTTCTTCAAAGATGTTTATGCCATGTTTAATGCTTCAGTGTTTGCGTGATATGTAATTACGGATACCGGTATGACCGTGCACAATTTTTCAGTAGTTCCATAATTCCATTATTTAGCACTGTATTGCCGGTTCTCAGTTATTTGCAAGGTAATCTGCAATTTGCTTGAAATTAAATGATGCCGCCCTTCAGTTATAAAAATGTATTAAACTTGTAAAATTTTGTACGTAGTAATACGTGTTGCAGTATGGTATACCTCATCTACACAAGGTGTTTCACCAACATCGATCACGCGTTTTACAATATTTGCTAAGGAAACAATTTCTTGAAAATTACTTTGTTGTGTTTTTTTTGCGAATTCTAGATTTTTCCTTAAATTCTTAATTGTAGTTTTTTAAACCATTGCAGAATTAATGTTTAAATTTAATTAATATTTTTAAATGAATTTAAAATTTAAAAAGATTAAATATTAATAAAATACAATTTTTGGATTTTAATAATTCAAATTAACATTTTTTGGATTAGATTTACAATACGTTGTTTGGGACATTCACCGGAAGCATCTCACAATACATAAGTGCAGCACTGCCGCACTATACGTTGCCTGTGAGCCGGTCGAGCCGGAAGTAGTTGCCACCATCAATAAACACCGCATACACACCAGCCGAGCGGTGTCAGCAGTTAGCACAGCGGCGGAATGTTGCGATTGTTGTCTTAAGGAAGAGGAATCTGCCGACGCCGGTCGTTTGTCCAGGAAACACTAGTGTGCTGCAACGGCTCAGCGGAAGTAGGGAATTATCGCTGTTATCATGTACAAGAATATACTGGCCATACGCCGAATACGCCTTCTAAATACAGATACCTTGCTGAAATGTGAAAGTGTCTACATTTGATACACATCCGGCACCCGTACGCCTAATAAAATTCACATGTATCTGTCAGCACCTGCGGTATATTACCATGAACGATACCGACAAGGTCACCTTGAATGATCTGTAACACTTGCAGTTAATCGGAGATTTTATAAACTTCCCAATTAGAAAAAGATGGATATTGGTTAACAGATAAATACACGTATTGTGAACACAATTAACTGCAACCATGCTGTCCGGCTTTCAGTAAATCATAATAATTAACGAAATGTACCGCTTCTGCCATTACTTGACTACTTAGTGTCTAAACAGCTAAAATAAAAGTAAATAATACTACTCTAATAAATATCCAGGTATTATTTAACAGCTGAAAGGTAAATGCCTGCAGCACCTCGCAATATCAGTAAATCTTTCTTCAAATGTTTCTAGTAGTGATGGCTTTTTTGTGTTGTTTACTTTAACTGATTGCACCGGAATTACATATAATAAGGTTGAGCATGCACAATCTTGCTAAATAGACATTTTGGCGATTAGTGTGTATATTCGGCCTCTTTATATCCATGCCGTAATTTAGGTCTACGGTAATTCGGCTAAATCGGTCCAGAACACCTACTCTGCACGCATTAACTTTAACCAGCCGAACACATAAATGCTCTTTTCTCTAAAGCTCGATACATTATTATTTTTTGAATAACTGATTAGTTTTCTGATTTAAGTATCTTTTGTGGACGAAATGGTTAAATAATTATCCTTCCATAATTGCACTGCAACCAGAAAAAGTGAGTATAATTTTTCCTGTTCGACATGCATCGCGTTTTTTTAAATACTTCGAAGGCTTGACGAGTACTTCCGCTTGATTGCGTGGAAAGCTATACTTTTCTTGCACCAGTTATTTATAAAATTTCTCGATCATGTCAGTTGTTTATTCTGTTTCTATCATAACGGCAGAAGAGTCATCCATTACAAGGCGGAAGTGATGGCACAGGTGGCTACAAGTGGCGACGCTGGGTATATGCCGCGCGCTGACCAATACGTATACCGCTATATTGGACCAAACACGCGTATGGCCTAATGAACTTGACTATGCTGACATCAGCTGCGTGGATTATTTGGATAACAGTGAACTTGAATTCCGCTAAAGCGTCTAACACTGTCCACGGCATAATGATCAGCGCGCTGCGGACGAAAACAGCCCATTCAGCGTAAATCCCCTACCGCTGGCTATAAAAGCGATTTCCGGCCACAGCCAATTCTTCTTCCTACATGCAGTTAGCGAAGGAAATGTGCGCTTCGTTATCACAATATTCACACCGGCAATTTATTGCAGTCGACGAGGAAAAATATTTTGTTTGTTTGATGCTTAAATGATTGTTTAATCGCGTTTACGCTGCACGATATAGACAAAATGGTGTTTACTGAAAATCCATTTATTTTTGGGGACAACAACGGGATTACCTGGGTGCCGGCTTCACGGTTTCCCTTTACTATTCCGGCCGATCTTGATAGGCGATTACAAAATGGAATTAACGTTAAATACGGTATGCACACAAAAAGCGGCTGTTCTGCTACTTGCAACTTAAGAAAAAAAGTGTACAATTTTCTGAAGTACTTGGATGATTGTGGATTTTATAGTTTTCGAAACATCTGATTTTAATGCTAGATTTTGAAATTTGTATGCATTTTCCCCCGCTTTGAAAATCTGTTATTATTAAGCCTGCAGTTTGTTAGTATTTTGCTAGTAGTTGTTCTGTGTTTACGTATTGCGGTATTTAAAAAGACTGAAAAAATTGATATTTTACAGTAAAATTATTAGGCAGGAATCAAACACATCAGATTCGATATCATTTTAACAAAATTAATCGTTTAATTTAAGTAGAGTGATTGTATTTGTTCAAGAAAGTACTTTGTAGTTGTGATCTCACAGACGTTGCACGTTTTATTGCCTGTGATGTACAGGTACATGCGCAATTTTAAGCAGTGCAACGTTGCAGATATGGAATTCAACCGGTATCCTAGCCGTAATCCGGCCTTCTGGAGCCGCGAAGATGTGCAACGCTGGATAACGTCCTGCATACGGGAATATGGATTAACCGATGTTAATCCCGACAATTTTGCTCTAAGCGGTATGTACACTAGATAGTTTTTTCGTTACCTGATTACTGTATTAATTGTTATCCATCGAGCCAATCTCTACCTAACGTAAATGGAAAAATAATACTATGTGTGTTATAACCTATGCTATTAAAGTCATTTAATGTGGTAAAACCTTATTAACTTTTTTTTCCTTTGTTCAACCTTACCGGCAATAAAATATCGGCGTGTGCTTCATCCTTGTCAGATATTTAAACGAACGTTGCAAACTAAGCGCTGCCGAAACCGTGTTTTTTCAAATGCATTTTTTTGGGAATTTTTCGTGATTACATTTGAGTTTAGATTACAGATGTACAAGCTTAAACCTTTTGCAGGTAAAGCTCTGTGCATTTTAACCCGATCTGACTTTCTCACTCGCTGTCCGTCCGCCGGTGATGTGCTCTACAACACGCTGATTGCGTATGCTTCATCAGGTAACAACGGAACACAGAAGTTTACGTGTACGCAAAAACTTTTTTGGCATTCAAACCAAAAGTTAACGTGCTCGGCTTTTCCTGTGCAATAAAGCAGCCGACGCGGAAATTAATTACGTAATTAATTACCGGATGAAATTATAATATATTGCCGTATTACCATACCTTTATTCCAAATTATTGTTAATAATTTTCGAAATTTGTACGCTTTTGCTTCAGCATGATGTTGTACATTGAGAAGATACATTGCTGTGGAAGATACACACTGTCTATCTGTACCGGAAATGAATAACGTGCAATAAGTATAATAATCCAGTTTTCAGATTATGCGGGTCTTACTGTGCACTGTACACATATCCATATATTTTTTTAAATTAAAACTTCATTAAGAATGTGTATATTGTTTTAGGATTGTAACGCTTTTTTTCCGCGGCAGGTTCTTTCAGTCCCGCCCACATTCCCTCGACCCCACCGTCCAGCCCCCACGATCTCCAGCCCTCTCCGACCTTCTTCACCAATAAATTCCCACACTTCCGCTATCTCTCGCTGGATGCCGCTCTGTCCTCCGACACCGACTCAACCAGCTCCGGCTCGCGGCCCTCCACCCCGACCTCCAGCCCGGCCGGATCCATGTTCCAGTCGGCCTTCCCCAGCGCCCATCCGCTGCACGTCAGCACGGCCGCCGCACCGGAGCGGGTACGCGGCCAGGGACCGGCCGGGGAGTGCCGGTTGCTGTGGGAGTTTATCTACGTTCTGCTGGAGGACCCGGTGGGGCGGTACGAAAAGGTCATCCGCTGGAAGGACCGCGGCGCGCTGATCTTCCATATCGTGGATCCCGGCAGTCTGGCTGTGCTGTGGGGGGTGCAGAAGAAGCACGCGGCGATGAATTTCGAGAAGCTGGCGCGAGCGCTGCGGTACTATTACCGCATGGATATTCTCCGCAAGGAACCCGGCGAAAGGCACTGCTACAGGTATAGACAGGTTCATCGGTTTTCTTATGGCATTGGCTAATACAGTAAATGATTGCGAATCTTAAAAGATATTTATGTTGATAAATATTACCGTGAACAGTTTGGTTATTTGTACTATTGTATAATCGGGCTTTAATACATTTTAATTTTCCTTAGGTTCACGAAGTGCCTCGCCGAATTACGTCATTGCCGTTTCGCCAATAAGGAAAAGTAAATGGCATTTTTTTTCTTTGTTTGGCATGGATTTTACGTGTTCGCTATCTCTGCTACTGTGTAATTCCTATCTGTGAAGTGATCTCATAATTATGCAAAGCTGCCATTAGATTAGTCCGTAATCATACTTTTACTACGTAGACGCGTTTGTTTTGTCTTTAATGTTTTCACTCGCTTGCGTTTCTCTTATACAGTTTATGAAGAAACACAAAAAATTGACATCACGAGTATACTGATACCGTTTAAATATCAATAACGATATTTTAATATTTTAGTTGGAGTGCACTCGAATAATATTACAAGCAACCAAATAGCAGATCTGGATATATGTACTGTACTACTGTATGTATACTTTTATTTTAGCAGAAACAGTACACTGTACATGTGGCACGCTAGAATTTTATTGCCGACGATTGCATTGCATTAGTACCTTATCTGGCTTATCATAAGAAATAACTACGGGGAAAAACTAACACGATCAACAAATTAAATGCTCAACGTACTGCAACCGACACGTACTACGCTTATCGTATCCGCACAAAGGACAGACGCGTGCGACACAGAAAATAAAAATCACAAAAGATTTTGGTGAACAAAAATAGGGAGACAATACGGACGCGCATCACCCGGCATCGTGACACCGGGCGACGATGGTGATGCCGGGTGTTTAGCTGTTGACAGCGCGTCCTTTTTAACGAATTTTTCCATTGACGGATTTTTAGTGAGCTTTCTTCTTTTTCTTTTCCGGAACGTACTTTTTCTCTTCCAGCACACATTCAATGGCTTCCGACAGGCACAAAGGCAGGCGCTGCTGGAATTTCTCCAGCAGTTCCGGCAGATCAAAGTGGATGGCATAGTTCAGTTTGTCCTGCAGCAAACATTACGTATAATTACTCGCAAATTGCAGGGTAATTTTTACGTTTTTAATAGCAAAGTTAACACATACGAGAATTTTTTTATGCGTACACAGCTGTTCAGTGTTTGTGTTTATATGTTAAAGTGTTTGTGTTTTTTGTTTATGTGTGTTTTGTGTGGGTCTGTGATTATGTTTTGTTTGTTTATGTTCTGCTCATGGTAATTTATATGATCGGTAATTCATAGAACGTTTCCAACCACTTCTAGTTGTGCAGTGCTTTTGTAGTGTAGCGGCAGCGTACTCGAGCTATACTTTTCGTCAGTTAAGAATATGGCGCATTGCCCCACTTCGTTCTATTTTGATTGGTGTAGAATATCTACAAACAATTTTTTCGCAATTTTGATGTATTACTTTGTCTTTGAAACTCTACTGTACCATCATTCGACCAACTTTTCTGTCGTTTCTGGCGCAAATCTTGTCCATGCGTGCAGCATGTATAATCGCTTTCTTACTCGTTAGTACTTAAAAATCCAAATTGCACAGTAAATAGGACAAGAAGCATTATAGAAGATTTTAAGAAATTAATTAGAAATACAGGGGTGCCGCGCCAAGTTCGGACAGTTGCACAAATTAAATTAAAAAATATTTCTGTACTTGGTTTTACTTTTTATTTTGCACTATATTAGTGCAACTTTTTATTGCGGATCCGAATATGCTGAAATTTGAAATGCAAGATGGGGTAATAAGCAGCCAACCGGTTAAGAGGAAGATGGGGTAGGGGTCATATCCAGAGGGATTATAACTGACCTTCCAGAAAATTCCTCAAGTGACATTTTTTTATGGACATTTTTTTAAACTGTTGAGTATCCTTAAAGGTATGTAGTACGGGTCAGCAAAAACTTTCTCGTGATTGGTGCTCGAGGTGACCCAGACAGAAGGAGCACCTCCCATAGACTTGTATGTTAAACAGTGCTTCCGGAAGAATGTGGTTGCCTAGCGCGCAGAGACACATAACTTCGAGATGATGTTTTCGAAGAATAAGACATGCATTAAAGTAGAGGATTTTTGTATTCTACTTGTTATCTACGAAGCATGCAGTAAGATAGAGCTGGCAGAACGATCGAAGAAAAAACCGACAAAGCAGTGGCCAAATAAATTTTGCGTTAGTGCGAAAATGTGTTGAAGCGGGATGCCGCGGGCCTTTTGAGCAATAACAAGAGCTTAAAGTGTTGCTCAGTGGTTGGCCAACAAGTTTGTGTTGCATGCTTGACACATCCGACCTACTCTGATTCCTGTGCGAGCTCTCAAAGGGCACCGTCCACCATTCTGACAGTGTCTCCAGTAATATTGCAGAGGTCACGCCGCCATCATTGAAATAGAATGGAGTCAGACGAATTTAGCAAGGGCTTTGAATGGCAAATAGCCCAGCGTAAACCTTTTTGGGTTGTAGCTTCAGTAGAATTTCTTACGAAATTTTAAACGGGAGGGAGACATGGACGGTCCTTGGGTCGAACCGCATTTTTATTCAGGTCTGCTTCATTTTAAATCTCGCTGTAAAACAAGCCACGCCCTCGGCCTTGCGATCCATAGTGAAAAAGGTGCATAACACATATGCTAATAATAAAAAAATTAAATAACTAGTAATTTGTTGGTGGGTGACCCATAGTGATTTTTAAGAGAAGCTGTCCGAACTTGGCGCGGCACCCCTGTATATAATTAAGAAATTAATTTGGTCACCTGGTGCAGAAATTTCCTGAGAAGGCGGTGTCAGCGACCGATGACCAAATTATTGCGTATTATTTTTTATTTTAACGTATTGCGTTTACGTGTGTTGTTTGCTGTACCGGGTATAAGTGAAATAAGATGGATAGCGGTTAAAGTCAGTCTTATAGCACGTGTTCATAACATAAAAGCACCAACGTACCGCGGGACACCCTTTGAGGAAAGAGCACGATGCCGCCAGGGTTTTGAAGGTACTCAGTTTGTTGATGCCGAAAAATTCCTTATATTCTTCCGGATCCGGCAGATCATCAGCACTGGCGTTGGTCTTGCGCAGAACCGATTCATAAATGGCGAATTTGCTAGGAAATCCCATCAGATCCTGAATAGCGATACAATGTTACAAATTATTGCCGGGTAAGTTGATTGACGTTTTTTCGTTTCGGCAGATGTTTGTTTGGGCAATTTTGCTGCTGCAGCAATACTGCTTAATAAATTTTATTTTATTAGTTATTTGTTGTGACATATTTTATGAGGATTATGTTAACTACTGCAGTAAAAAAACAAACCTTTACCTAATTAAAATAGTCGCATAATCAAGTAAGAGGAACAAAACGTACATTTTCCAGTGCCTTGTTGCTTCCGAAGAAGGACTTCTTCTGCGTATAGGTCTCGACGTATTTATCCACGAGATGCGCATGATTCCGCACATCCACCGCCCGCTCGAACACCGTATTCAGCCGGTTCTTGAACCTTTGATCCAGAATCTTATTGAGATCATGCAAGAAGTGCTTCTCCTGCTTAATGTACACCGCGCCGGTATCTGCATCCAGCTCCTTCTCAAAACTGGTCAAATAGACCTTGGGTGCTTCGTTCACGTCGAAATGCGGGGCAAAGCTCCACACTAACCGGCGCAACGCCCGGATGCTGTCATCCAAGTTGGATTTATGCCCGCTTTCCACCAGGACAAACAGCAGATCCTCCTGATCCTTCAGCTCTTTAAAGACCGCCTCCAGAGTGGGGCCGACATCCAGTCGGTCCGGCTCCACCACCAGGATGACGGCGTCCGCGCGGGCTACGAACCACTGGTGCACCTTGCCCATGGGAAACTCCCGGTCCAGTTTGCTGTTCTCGATGAGATCCGGGGTCTCCACAATGGAGATGCGCTCCAGGATGGAGTGTGGCGCCTCCACAGCTTTGAGGTGGGAGGCCAGGGCTTTGCCGAAACGCTGAAGCGACTCGAAGGTCTCGTTGCGGAGTACCTGGATACCCTCCAGGGTGCGCGGTTTGGCCGCGTACGAGTGGATAACAAAGTCGGTGTTCTCCAGTTCCTCTTCTGCAAAAGCTGTGCGTTAGGAAAATCACTGGCGCGCAATGCGAAAAAGCCGTTCTACTTTGTAGTTTGTACTATAAGTTGTTATACTTTTACTTCAAGAAATATCGTAGTGCAATGGCAGTTTGGGGCTCAATATGACGAAATATCGCACTTTGTTTGAATTGATAACGGATAGTAAACAGTACTGTAATTAGTCCGTAAAACTCGCCTATTATCAACTTTTTGCACCACGAAAGGTCACGGTTAGCGCGCGCTGGCCCAAGTAACTTTTGCATCATTGATATCTAATATTTAATAATTAAACTTAGTTTACAGACTCTGATGGAAGGTGGTGGAAATAAAAAAATTCCTTAAAATGGACTGGTAGTAAAATTCCGTTTTGCTTCGAAATCTAAAGGCCAGTGCTACAAAAATTTTGCAGCTATACTGTAAAGGAATTAATTAATTTTGCATTATAAATGCGGTGTACCATCGTCGTCATCATCGGCCGTTTCCTCCTTTCCAAGCAATATCGGCAGAATCGATGATTTTCCACGCTTGTACGGCTCCATTAGCAGCACCAACGGCTTGGCAAAAATTTCAGCTTCTAAAAGTTAAAAAAAGTTAAACCTATTTGGCAGCAGGGTATAATCTGACGTATAAATTTCGTACAATAATTTTTTGCTTGGGTTAATAATGATTTCAGAGTTTTCGAAAGCTTATTGCCTTATGGCTTAGATGCTGAAACTGATTCTTTGTGCATGAATCTAAAATAATTCTGTTATCTCACGTAAATTCGCGTTCCACAATTTTTTACAGACTTAAGGAACGTCTTCTGTAACGTCTGGATCATTGCGACGCTTCCATGTACATTTATGCGGTACATCTACTATAGTATAAAATAAACCTAAAACGGGAGAACACATAAATCTGCTGCCCTGATTTTAAAAACTCACCGCCGAAGGTGGAACGCGACAGCTGCTCATACTTATACAGCTTCTCAATGGGCGCAATCTGGTTATCCACAATCTGGTGCAGGCGCTCCAGGGCGATGTTCGTCAGCAGCTCCTTACGCCGGCGCACCTCCGTGTTGTCTTCATTCAAGTGGAAGATCTCGCCGACATCGTAGTCTCGTTCCGGCACGGCTTCGTCCTCTTCATCCTCATCGTCACCTTTATCGCCGTTGTCCTCGTCACCGTCGTCGTCGTCCTTCACCTGGGTCTTGTCGTCATCGTCGTCGTCATCATCCTTATCCTTCTTCGCAGCCGGCTTCTTCGCGTCCTTGTCATCGTCATCGTCGTCCTCCGCCGGAGCGGCAGCCGCCGGTTTCTTACCGTGCCGAACGGGATGAGGTGGTGGTTCCGGTTCGTCGTCTTTCTCGTCGACTTCCGCGGGCGGTTCGGGTTCAGGTTCGGGCTCGGGCTTTTTCCATTCTAAAAATAATACACGATTGTTAACTTAGAGGTGTGAGCCGAATCGGCAAAAAATTACTTCGGAGAACGGTACAATTTATCAATCTTTAACACAGAGCAACACTTTCTTATGTTTGTCGTTTTGTGACACTACACTACCATATCTTGACACCATTCCGTTGTGCATGCAAAGCTGAAAGCCTACTCACCTAACCAATCCTGTAGAGCATGCAGTGAAAAACTATTGTATAATACAACAAAATTAATATTACGAATATCAATTCGAGAAGCATGGTAATTTTCTAGGAATGATGCTGCGCGCATATGAACAGTTTTATACCAAACTTTGTATGCGATATATATGAATTTTTTGATTTTTAACTGCAATTCAGTCGATGCGGCGTGCACGAGCAAACACTGCTTCGCCTGCGTCACCCCGTGTACAGAATTTTGGAACGGGCGATGGCTGCGTGCACAAATCTTTACTGTAGGCACTTTATAGAAGACAACAGTTAATAGCATAGCAGTAGTGGAAAAAAACAATTACCTTCTAGTAGGTTGTCAACAATTATTCTCACTGCGCCGTATAGTTTTGTGAACTCTTCCCCAGTTTTGTCGGTAAGTAACGTATCCAGTGGTTTGGTTAGTTTACGAACTTCTCGATACCGGCTTGACCTCCTCAATAGTTTGGAAGCAGCTGGTTCCTGGTTCTCTGCGTCGCTGGGGTCATCGTTGGAGGTCTCATCCAGAGCTTGTTTTAAAAAGCCATGATAAATCGAAAAAGCTTCTCGACTTTTGTAGTTTTTATTGTAAAATATAGTTCCTTAAAATAGTTTATGATTTTCGTAGAAACTGAAATGGGCGATTTTCGAAACAAGTATACAGCCATAGGCCCATAACCCGTGCCGGCTTTTCATGCGCACGCAAACGACCGCGTTCCCGAACTCCGAGCGCGCAGGCAGACCGGCCTCTCTGAATCTTGGGAGAATACCTGTGCACGCAGCCATGAATGGAGCAGCGCTTCCAAAAGTTAGTCAAAGTTATTTCGCTATATATTAGTCAAAGGCTGAGCCAGAGCCGCTCCGATATTAATTTTTCGTTACCGCTGCGATACCGCATAAAGATACAATATTTGCCCTATCCGATATGACGCTGACTAGTCTGATACACTCCGCTTTTGGTTAATATTCTCAATACGATACTGTACTGATTAAACCCCGGATGTTCCCATAAAAAATTGAAAAAATTATGGGGTTTTTTCAGACACCCGTACTGATTCCTGAAGCGGCATTTCCAAAAACTATAGTACCGAAAATTTATATGTATCTAATTCCTGAAAATCGAATTCCAGAATTTAACTACTTTATGGAAATCGTAAAATAAAGCGAGTCCTGTTGGGTGAAAATGGTGCGTTCCGACTGACGCCTTTTCGTTTAAAAAGTAAGTCCGAAACTGGTAAAGCTGTAATTTGTTTGCGCTTACGAAAACCGATGAAAACATTAAAACTAACGTAGTTTTTGGGTTTAATGATGGCTGCGGACACCTTTGCGGAGCAGCTCACGTTCCAACCAATAAATCAACGATAAATAATTTTGAAATAATATTTTTTAAAAAATAAAATTCGTCACTTTTCAACGGGTGTTTCATGCACTTACGTTTTCTTGCTTCAATATCACAAATAAATCCGACAAGCAGCACGCCCAGGATTAGCAGGCAAAGCTTGGGAATCATTTTGATGGAGATAATAATCACCACGGAGGGCGAATATGGCGCGGCCCGTAACGCTGCAGCAAACTTCCGGCAATTAAGCTGACAATTAAGGAAACGGCACGGCTCTCGCCCTACTGCGCCTTCCGCTCGCACACTCAACCAGGAGCCACTCTCTGCACCGCTACCACCACCACTGCCGTCGCGGAGACTTCACGAGTAAGAAGATTACATATTTGTCATTTTGCCAGCCCGCCGACATGACGTTACATGCAGCGCGCGCTCTTCCCCGCTTCCGGTCTATTTTTACACCAGGCGAAACATAAGTCGTTTAATCGCCTCCATAGTCTGCCGCATCTTGCCCGGCAATGTGATGATTATGGATATTTTTGGAAAACGCAGCAGATTGCATACTATACGTGTACGGCGCATATATACCGTTCGTCTTATAGTGATTAACAGCAGTATTGCACGCTCTGGCCGATGGTTTTCATGTCAGAGCGACAAATGCAGGCATATTTCATATCGCTGTCTCGCTTCCGTGAGCAGTAATTCATAAATTTTTCTATAAAATTTTTTATTTAGCATAGTTATCACAATTAAAACTAATGAAGTTATTTGTATATCAATTTCGGTTTGCAACTTTTCGGGTGTATCTTCCATTATTATTATTAATTTTTTTGTCTTTTTACTTGGCGCAACAACTGTGAATTCATTTTTTTCTACTTTTGTTTTCTTGTTGGCAACTGAGTTTAATTTAAATGGTTTTTATTTGGTTGATTAATAAAACTTGCAGTTATATTACCACAAAAAACTTGAAATCATTGAATCTTTAAAATTATCGAACACATTTGAAGTCATGTTTGACCAATAGAAGAAAAGTATATCTAGACACTTGTGTCACAGTCAGATCCACATAATCGCTAACAATCTTAATAAAAGGCAGATAAGTATTTATTTTGTCGAGTTCCGGACATGAACTTTATTCATAAATAATTTTTATTATTACACATCAAGTAATTATCAAAAATCTATCCGCCATATACAGAGTATATTCACATTGTTGCTTCATATTGCAGTAATTACAAAAAAAACTGCCAGGAAGTACATTCTTAATACAAATATGACGGCATAACCCATGCTAGGTACATGCCACACAACCAACAAAAACATTCTCTTTACTTTTTGGCCACAAAGTGTCCATGCTCGTCGCGCGGATGCTCCTCCTCGCGGAAATCGTGCCGGTGGTCGTGTTTGTGCTCCCCGGTCTCTTTGTTTACGAAATGACCGTGTTCATCGCGGGGATGGTCCTCTTCGTGGTACTCGCGCTGGCGGACGCCCTCGTCACCTTTCTCCTGGCTCGACATGTTATGAGTATGCGAGTATACGCCTTAGACAAATTTATTAGTAGTATCACAGTTATTAAAGTTATTCTAGTGAGTGTTGCTTTCGTAATGTAAATGTACTGATTATCTCAGGTGAAAGAAAAAATGGGATTTTTCCGCTGTTGTCAAACTGTGCTGTTGCTACGCTATGAGCAAAAACTTTAATGTCCACATGTCCTCAAGTATTAATTAAACAAAATACTCGTGAACACAGAAAACAGAAAAAGTAAGTGCATTTACGCTGATTTACTGTAACAAAATCACCCATACCTGCGTTTGCTGAAAGCAATTAAAAAACCGCAGCTGTAAATGTAATTATCAAACCAACCCAGCGCAGATGAATATATAAATATTGGCTTATTATTAGAAAAAGCTATTTTTTGCGAATTATTGGAAAAAAGCGTCAAATAAAGATATTTTTTAAAAACCAGTGTGAATCGGAAATTAAATCTGATAATATAATATTATAAAAAAAACCTCATTCGCTCCATGTACACATTATGTCTCAAGCTGGCAAGTTTACAACTAAACAAATACGCAAGTAAAGAGCGCAGTGAATTTTGGATCCAGCAACGCGTCCTCACCTCTCGCGTGGTTATTAGATCACTTTGTTAGACAAACTGATTGGATCTGAATCATTTTGGCTGGCCATGGTTGATTTAAAAGCGCCAAAAGTTATCCCATTGTTTCTTTGTATAAAAATCTAATTGCATTATAATCGGGGCAATAATATTAGATTTATTTATTATTTTTGTTATTTTTACGGTATAGTAATTGCGTGCACCAGTCTCGCACCTATGTACAAGTACTGTACACTGTATCTGTACACACATATTTTGATGTGTGTTCCGACATTACGATGTACGAAAACAAGATGCTAAATCTTTTTATTGACTAGGTTCAAAAAATACTTCCCTCGAGAAGTTAATACTCTTATTAGAAGTCTCAAAATGTCGAAATAATTATAAAATGTTGTAACGTGGAAGCTCTAGGAGGAAATCAGCAGTTCACGATAAGAATTCTCGTAGAGTAGTGGCGTTTTGAGGGGTACATATCCGTCGCTATACCGTGCTTTGGCTGCACGAATTCAGCACTGTGCGTTTCGAAATTTACATAAATGTTCAGTTTAAACAATTTTTGGCGATTATTTTAATCCGAATAAACACATTTCCAAATTTTATTTACGATTAAAAATACATTATATGATTAGTAGAAGTACATACGGTGAAAACTAATAATTGTACGGTAGTTTTGTTTTAATTCGACATACATATAGATATTTGTTGTATTTATGTGCGAGTTTGTGCATGTATGTACCTACATGTTATTTTATCAAATTTCTTGTGGTTTACTGTTACCAGTAAATCTTATCAAAATGATGCGTTGTAAGTTGTACGAAATTAATGATATGTATAAAAAATTACTTCGCTTGAGAATACCGACAGCAGTGGGTGTTTGGAAATGTCGCAGTACAGTTCACTGGACGGTTATTTTCTACATACAATGGATGGTCTGCGCTTTTAGTACTGTGTATGTACTGTACAGTTACATTCAGAGCAGATTGCTGTAAGTTGAACTTATAAAACATGTTCTCTCGTCATTCTTACAGTTTTGCCTCATATGTAATTTTCTTGAACAATGCAAGTTTCCGTTCCTTAATCGTCAGACTTTTATATTGCCCAGTATTTTGAGAAGACAAGCCCGCGCATTCCTCGTCCCAGTGTCAAAGTTCACGGGGTTATCAGTGCTCTCGTTACTCTGTAATCCAGTCCATCCCGGCATTCACCGACGTACAATACCCGTGTCATCCATCCCGCTCACACACAGACACCGGCGTCACCTCATCATATTTCCCACCTGCAATCCCGTCGCTAATCCCCGTCTAACGAGCAGCGTTTATATTGTCGATTTGTGGGCAAGTGCATATTTGCATAATATGCCGCCGGTAAAATCCATACTCGTACACACACAACCATCCAACGCGATTTATTTAAACGATCGATACCGGCTATTTTCGGGTGCAGTCCCACATTTCCATATTAAATCGCCAACACACGGTCTGGCAGTTTAGCACGATCCACACTCGTCAAGGAGAAACTTTGTCTGCAGCCTCGTTATCAAACGGCATTGTCTGACCGGGCTCGATCTCCATCCCCCAACGGAGTTGGAACGATGATTTATGGCGGGCGTTAATAATGAGATCGATACGGGGAAGAAGCTGCCGATTGGATTATAACGTATTTAACAAGTAAACGCTTAAGTGCCCATCTCTTAGCCCCGCATCTCCCCATCCACCGCCGCCCGAATTGCGTGACCAATCAATTCGCCGTTTCTTTGTTCGGCCGTGGGTCCAATATGTATCCTTTTTATCCTGAGCGCTCTCTCGTCCGCTCTCTTGTCAGCGTCATCCAAGCAACTTCATTTGGCTAAGTAAATTTCCTGCTGTACAATACAGGCCAGCATGCTTGTCTTCGACACCGGATAGTTCGTCAATCTGGACCGGCTTTTGTCGGCTATTCACAACTGGTTCAATACGCGTGTGTATATGTGTGTTCTGCCTGGCGGCCCATGTTGATTCGGCTTGTGGCGATGATGGACGCCAGAAAATCCACAATAATATTTCACAATTATCCTAAATGAAAATGGATCTCTTAGCGCTGGGAATTACTATGATCATTAGCTGTGATGTCACCGCGATAAGGTACATAACAAAACGTTTTACCGGTCCATAATTCAATTTTAATTTCAAAGTAATCCTAATAAAAACGGGTCCCTTGTGGAACGAAGAGTACCATATTTAATTGGTATAATTTTTTTGTTGAGTATCTTATTAAAAATTTAAAAATAAAATGTTTTTTGTAGAGCGGCCGGTACCCCCCGTGTGCAGGTTTTGGCTAATCAGCTGTCTTCAATCTTCGAAGCCAAGACGTCATACAGCGTCATCCGTAAGGTGGGATTTCCTGTTTTCCCTTACGCATCCTGTATACGCCGGTTTCTGTGTATTTTTATCGTTGCCTAATTTGTCTGAATGCTCCATCTCCATTCTCCAGCGGATCAAAGATGCCCGGCTGGAGTACACCGCTGAGCCGGCCCACTGTCAGGAAGTGAAGTCAACACTACACTCCACCCGCGTTCAGATCGAAGCCCTATTCAGGCATCGCGTTAAGGCACTAAAGGTAGTAAAAACTCTCGGTTTTATGCTTGTTGAATAGTCGCCAAGCACTCGCACATAATCCATTTGGCCCTGACAATCATCCTCAATTACGTGAGGGCCGCGCTGGCGCGTAACTGTCCATAAATCATGTCACTACACCGATCAATATAGTGTAACTTTATTTACTGTAATGTATTCCCAAGGACTCCTTCAGCGTCCATTTGTTAATTACACATTCCATTTAATCGTGCCGCGCGTTTATACATCGTCCCCGGCGTGTCAGCCGACGTCCCGCGAGACTAATCGAATAAGCGTGTTTTTTCCTCAACAGCGGATCGTGGACGAGGCTGAACGGTTGTCAGCCGGTGCGCAGTTGAAGTTGCAGGACACCGAGTACTGCTACAGCGGAGTATCCGTACCGTACAGTGTAAATGAGCGTCTTCACTTTCACGCGTGATATATATGGGAGAGATCCTGGGGGTAATGGTGCGCAGCCGCTAATGCTATTTGTCGGTTGGTTGCATGTTGCAAACAGTGCATGGAGAGTGAGTCCGTCCGACTGGATACGGATTATGCCGATTACAATCGCGAGATGTTGTTCCGGTACAATGCGCTCTTCCGGCGTACGGTTTCGTTCGTGCAGTCCGGCGTGCAGATTCCTGATTATGTGCCACAGAAAGGTAGGTCACATATTCACCGGGCTGGTTGAATTTCCTTTCTCTGAAATTATCAGGATGGTTAGCTCTTTCCGCTACGATGCAAAGCTATCGTGTTATTAGCAATATTATATAATAATCCAATAAGAATAATCTATCCTCCAGTTTGATTTTTCTGTTAGCTAAATTCTCCATAAATTATGTCCTTCGTAATTATTCTTGTATTCGCCAGAAGATTACAACAGTTTTCCTTGTAAATTTTCTTTCGCTTTCTGTCGCATTGCGCGTGAATACGCCGTGCTATACTTTTCAGGGATTCGTCTTAATCGACATCTGGATGTAACACAGCCTCTTGATCGCATTTTCCGGGAAAACCGCAAAGAATCACCTGGCATTTCGTGGCAGTATTTGGGCACCGAGAGTGGAATGTTCCGAATTTTTCCGGGTAAATTCTCCCCATAATCGACCTTTTGGCTGACTCTAAACTGACATCTATAACAAATAATATACAGCTTTTTCCTGGACATCCGACGAGGAAGATTACTCAGCCTGCAGTACAAAGCGCTTTGACGCACGTCATCGACCCTGGTAGGACAATGGATTTCCCCCAAAAAGCCGATGAGGTCAATTGTCAGAGCGAGGGTGTGTGTGTTTAGGTACGGCCGGGCGCTTCTTCCGCCGCAAGATCTCCTCATTCTGTTAGACGTGTAAGTCAATAAACACTCGCTGTATTGTGCGGCCGAGCCTTTCTGTCCACATCCGGCGCAAAACCTTTGTGAGATTATTATTTCCCTTCGTGCGTTATGTCAGAGCACCGCAAATCAACAAATCTCCACCACTGAATGTACATTGCCTTTGACAGTTCAGGCTCGGTGTATGGCCAACCATTGCGTCTGATCAAGAGTTTGGCGCAAGCGTTAGTCGATAGTCTGAATGATGATGACTACGTCGGGATTGTTGAGGTTGGCGACAAGATTCAGTGGAGTGTCTCGCTTGTGAAAAATCGTTTGCTGCTGCAGTTCAACCGCAATGTGACCTTTATTCCGTGCACCACCGGATTCACACTGGCAACAATGCCGGCCAAATCTGTAAGGCTAATTAAACGCAGTACCGCGGGCACACGTGATTAGCTTGGTTGTGTTTATGAGAGGCACTTAAAGAGGCAATTAACATGGTGACACACGGGAAAGTCGGGACCTACGAAGCGGCGTTGAAGTTTGCCTTTGATGCCTTTGCCGAACACGACCGGTTCATTAACATCTCCCGAAGGCAATTTGGACTGGATGCGGCGAAGGACGCCCGGGTCAAGGTAATTGTCATGTTGTCGGATGGATCGACGGAGTTTCCTAAGGAGGTACTGGATCAACGGGATCCCAATGCCACGGTAAGTGCAGCTCGTTAGACACCGATTACCGCTTGTCTGCTGGTAATAGCCGGACGCGGTTTGGCCAATTGATCACGTAATGGTTGAGTTATCGGATGTAGGTCAGGATCATCAGCTTTCAAGTGGGTCTGGATATCAATCCCAAGGGCGGTTTGATGAAGATGGCCTGCTCGCATAACGGATTGTTTCTTACCGTATCACTCAAGGAAACCATACCGCAGAAGATTCTGGTACTGATTTTTCAAACAATCATTAGTCAATCGACATTCTCTGGATTGAATTTATAATTATGGGGAAATGTTTTGCCAGCGCTCCAAATATCCGTTGTATGCGGCTCTGAACTGGACTCGCTCGTATCCGTATTATATCAGCAATGTTTATGAAGATTGCTTGGTAAGTACGAATTTTATGCATCTCGACACATGCTGTAGACTGTATGCATTAACTACGAGTACAGCAAGTACGTATTTTTGTTGTTCGTAATTTTTGTACAGTGTATTGCATTTTTATTAACGACGAACTATTACAGCTTATTTCGATCTGAAAGTACTACTACGCACTACCAAAAAATGGGATGATTTTTTTTTATCTTAAATACAGTAAGCGCCGAAGTCAGGGTTGTGATTACTAAACGTGCAATTATTTTAGGGTACAGGAGCCGTTGTTTCGCTGTTTATGGCGGTTCACGACTACGATACGGTAAATGATTGTCAGATGCAACCACAAGAGCAAACAACGCTTCAGGCAACCGTTTATAGATTTCCAAAGAAAACTTCATGGGGGTGGCCGGCGTGGACATTCAGATGGAAGAAATTTCCGAGCTTCTTGCTAACAAATCCAAAGTTTTAAGAACCATCCTCATTAACAAATCAGGTTATGTGCTTTACCATTCGCATTTGGATCGGGTCAACCGTTCCATGTGGAATAATTTCTCCGTTGTTGTGGATTGGACCACACTGGAGCCTCGCTTGCCTGAACTAGAAAAGGTTCCATTTAAAGATCAAACTACTGTAGCCGGCAGTCAAATTCTGAACTTCATTTAAATGTACGTTAGATCAAGCGTCAGGTTTATCGTTGGCAATCCGGTCATATCCATACGGTTTTCTGGGAACGCTCCAACGACCCACGACGGCTGCGTCCAGTACCGGTGACCTATGTTTTTGAATTAGTCGTCGATGATAAGCTGATGCTGATACACGTGCATGCGAAGAAATATGGTCAGCCATGCGCTACAAAACCAATGGGACGTGCGGAAAAATGCGAAACGTATTGCGCCAAGTTGAATGTCCTTATTCAGAAATCCGTTACTGAATATAAGCGTCCATGGCTAGTCTGTTGTGGAACTGTTTACTGGCTGCAAAGATTGCATAATTTTACTGTGGAAGATGTACATTACACTGCTCTTTATCGGCCGGATGAAATCCAGTTTCAGCCAAGTACGAATTCTGGAAAAATTAAAGATAAGCCCTACTCTACTCTTCAGCACTGCTGTATTTCTTTGCAGTTCCGACCCAAATGTACAACGAGATTGTGGGATACGATATGCTCATGTACCGTTTGCTCCTTCAGCATCCTTACCCCGCTGGTACGTAGTACTGGTACATAATTTGAATTGTCGCGAATTTGCATTGGTTGTTTTATCAATATAGTGATCGGCACATTCACCGATAAGGGTACCATACTCTCCGCAATGGAACTAGACCATGAAAGACGCCCAACTCTGATAATGGATGATTCGGGCACAATATACGCTGACTACCGCAATGGGTCTAACGCCACGGAATCGTTCTCTCATGTATCCGATTCACACGATTACCTATGGGATCATTTTGTGGAGAAGGGAGTTCTCGAAAGGTATCAAAACGAATAATACTACAGAAAGGATAGCCCATATTTTGCTCGTAACCTTTCAGTGAAATGTTTGCGGTTCCGGCTTTTAACTGTTCGATTACTTCTGGAGTCAGCAGATCAGTGCCTTTCTTAAACGTTCGCCTACATTCCGATGTGGTATATGTTTTCGAGTATTTAAGGTAAGAAACATCTGGAGCCTGCTGATTGAGTTACGTGCGTAAATAGCATAAATAATTTTGGACTTTATTGAATAATCGTAACCAGCACAGTATTTACCGAAACCGTTTTGATGCAGGTTGTTTTGGACTATTTTCGGTCAGTTCAGTGCCTTAATTGGTTTAATGATCCTATGGATTCTTCCAATGACAGTATTCGCGTTAAAAGCCGACGAATATCGAAAGCTCACAAGTAACTTGTGCACCAAGAAGGAAATGCTTTCGTACTGGAGGAAAGGGGCGGTTGCGTCATACGGGAGCGTCAAATGCAGCAGTTCAATACGGTATTTATCAATTCAACATTCGTTGCCAAAACTAACGCAGTTGTTGTACTATATTAAATATTCACTTGTGGAAAGATAGTTATTGACTGGTTCCTTGCTCTTTTTATACTTCCTTACTCATTCTAATATTGCTTATTATGGTATAGCATTGCTATTTGATAATTTTGTAGTGAATTCGGGTTAAATAAAATCTCGGGAACCAATTTGCTAATGCTAACAGCTGCGCAATACGACAACCCAGACGACAACTTCCGGAAAGATCCAATACGAATTGCTACGACTGCCGACAAGTGCCCGAATCAGGACAGTATTAAACATACATGGAAACCGATGGCTTCAGAATATTTTCCCCCGAGTGTGTTCGACTACATGTCGACGGAAGATTGTGCCTATGCCAAGGTGGTAATTGCTTCGAGTACAGCTGCGCTGTATACCGGCTCGTATCCGCTTGCCGTCGTGATTTTTAGTGTGGTGATTGCTGCTGTGGCTTTCATCGTGATAGTGTAATGTGGTAAACATAATGATTTAAAGTTCGTGATAGATAATGATTTCTTTGTGTGGCCCCAAATCTACAGAACTTGCATTTGTTTGAAAAGTAACAATACTTTCTTCGATTAAGGAAAGTGACTCGGTACATTGCAGCAGACTTTTATACATGCACGAACACATTCGCTTCCGCGTACTCCTAAAAGTTTTCCGCTTTTTTATGATATTCTGTATCGTAGCCAGATTTGTACGTATTGGTGTAAAAACCGTTTATGCACGCAACAACCGATTCGGGAGTTGCGGCTGTAAGGAATCTCCAAAGATGCATGCGTGCAAAAAGTAGCATTATGGTCGCGAAACTTTTCCGGCATACACACGAATTAGGTTCCATGGACCGGGTAACTTCCCTTAAGGGTACCCTTTTTGACCTTTCAGTGGATGTATTACATTCTGCTCTGGTGAACACTTATTGATGGAATTGCGGATATGTAACATATAAAAACAACCAGTGAGCACATGACTCAGCACGCCAGTTGCTAAAGATAACATGCAATACAAACAGGTGCTGAAAGAGATATTCTTGCACAAAACAGGCAGTCCCTTGCAGTTTTGTAGCTGAACTTTAAAAAAAACTTCGAAAACGCAGTGAGTATTACAAGGGTGTACCTGATGTTTTCATGTAGAACTTGTCGCATAATTTTAAACTCAAAAACATAGTAGTTTTGCTGTGTCGACTACTCTTGCTTTGAATGACAGTAGTCTGATGACCAACCTGATTTGTCGTCCGACCATGGTAAACCATTCGCGCGTACATGTGTACATGTACTTGTACATGCATATATTTACGTGTACAAATGTACGTGTGAATAATGCATCTAACTGCTTAATGTTGATTGAGGAATAATAAAACTAGTTATGTGCAGCCGGAATGCGGAAACTAGATAAGTCGCTGCCGCTCTCCCATGACCGAAAAATACACTGGTATAAGTGGTATTGATATAATCTACAGAGTACCGGTACATACAGAAAGCGGTACACCATAGCACACCTATAGTCGAGCCGATGGTGGGTGAAGTTCTTAAATCAGCTGAATCTAAAACACACTAGGGGCAGGAGCGTTCCGGAATTACGGTTCTGCTTTAATATATAGGATAATGGTTGCCACGACACCTGAAAGACACATGAAAGCACTGAAGCGCCTTCTCCTCATGAGCCTTTTCGAAATCGGATTTGGCATCATGTGTCTTATGGGACTATGCGTGTATTTCTTCCTAGTACCTCCCTGTATGTGTGGCCACCTTTGGACATCGATATCTCGCCGGATTACGTTTTAACTGCAATGCACTTTTTGAATTTTATTACTGCATAAAAGAATTCAGGATATTCAAAATCAGAACATTCAGAAATTAATTAATGCTCGTTAGCTCAATTTCACTATTTTACACACTTGCAAACTTGAACGTAATGCTGTTGCGCCAGTACATTACGCAGTAATAAAATTCAAAAAGTGCATTGCAATTAAAACTTTCTCCGGATAAAATTATTATCTTTCAATTTAACCACGCCTTATATAGCAACGAAACAAATGCTGCATTTGAGAGGGCTCAGATGACATTGGGCTGTTACGTATAACAAATAATAGGTGGACTGTCCTTATTAACTTTAACATATTTCAGGGAATCCCGAAGGCGATGTTGGCCCCAAACCAAGCACCATTCACCTTCCCGTTATAATTCTATCAATCGAAAGTGCTCTCCTATTTGCGACAGCTGCTTATGGACTGTACACCAGGCATCGAGCCAACAACCAGACAGCAACTGTTGGAATGTTCTTCGGCTTGCTCGGCCTTAATCATTTCTTGTGCTTGTTATACAGTGCCGCACTGACAGCTTGTGTAGGATATTATCTTGACCTCTGGATCCTGACTTCCGATGCAATAATGGGCGTGCTGTTATTGGTCGCAGTGTCTAGCGTTGGATCGAAAATTGGAATAACGCTGACGGCTGCTCTCCAGTGTCAGCTGTATATAAGTATCCTTAAGGGAAACGAAAAAGCTTCGCCAAACAAGATACTGCTTGCTTAATATTCTTGTGATGTACCGCTTTGAAAAAGGCAATAGTGAAGCAAAGCGGCAGATTGTAAGCAGAACATCATTACCTACTGTATACACTGCCAGAAGAGTTGCTAAGTTAAAACAATTTTACTCGAAATAATCCATGCTATCCCCTAATTTCCAGTCCGTTGTTCTTCATTTCATGGATTCTTGCTTAATGTATTTATTGATTTCTGCCTTTGTGATAATTGTATATGACATTGAAATAAAATGGCTTCTGCACAGTGGTGCGCTAAGAACTCTCTTGAACCGGCAAAGTGGCGGTAGCCTTTAGGCTTTGGTTACGATCCCTTTAATTTGTTACGTTTACCTGCTATCGCTATCCGTATTGGATAAGAAAAGTGTTTCCGTACTTGTCAACCTGCACCTGATAAAATTCTTTCGAAGTGTGACAATACGTCAGAGGATAAAAATATAGTAAAAATGTCGTTGTACCTTTAAAACGATTGAAATAGCGTTTTATTAAAGTTAACTTTAATAAAAGAATGACGAATCCGTCTGTTTATGTTTCGCAGCTAGCCTATAATAATAACTTTGCAAACAGCACACGACTGAAGACTTGTTACTGTCTTAAGCAAAAAACGAACTTTGAGAGAAAGCTGGGCAGGCACTTCAGTAACAGTAACATAACACCTAATTCGCAGTTTTTGACTACGACAGTGTGACGTGTACGGGCGTACCTACGTACACATTGGACTACTACTTTACTATTTCTACCCCGAAGCTTAGGCTTAGGATTTACTACAACGACTACTCGAGTCATGACCCCGACTCCGAGTCGATGCTTCTAGGAAATCTCCAGCAGAGAACTTTGACCGCGACTTGCCATTTCGACGTGACCGCGCGTCAATGACGTAGCTTAACCTTTTGTTCTCTTGTACTAGCTGGCCCTTTTCTCTGATTAGTTCATGAGTGTTGATGCGACCTATGATTAGTCCACGTGTATGTGATCGTAGAGTATTGGCTAGATTCTAAATCCCTATTGTTCTCAGAACCGTACCTGCGCGTACGAAGAGTCGCACCTGCGTGTGCCCAAGACTACATAAGGCGCTCGTCGCCCACACAAATGTCACGAGTTATCAGTCCATTAAAAGTAGAGACTTGTTCTCGATCTGGTTAACTTCAGGCTTTTGTTCTGGTTTACACTTTCCAAGTGAGGAATCTGCTAACTGACCTCTAGGTGACCTTTCGCCCATGTCAGGGGTTTTCCTTCTACTTCGTTGACGTGCATTATCATCTTCAGATATTCTGGTAACGTGATAAGTTATTCCTTTATTTTAAACTTGTACAAGCAAATGCCATTTACACTTAAACTCAAATATCGAATAGCTAGAACAAGTAAAAGTTACCCACTAGCTCCCACTTGCATCCCTTGACCTTTCGGTCAGTGACCTTTCGGTCCCTTCGATCTTCATTCCCAGTATCGCCTGGTTGATGGATATTGCTTTTACCGCTTCTGCTAACATCTAGCGTGAGGTCAGCTAAGTATACTCGTATCATTGTGTATTTCTCGTGTTTGCAGCAGGGATTGCTGAGTTCCAGCAGTTCCTGACTTGTTCCTGATCTTCTTCTTCTAATTGCCATCCCATTTTCCCAACAGTTTGAGATAATAGTCGCTCTTTACCGATTGCGTCGTGGTCGGTATGTGTATGAGATAGAGATTATACAACCCCTTTCTTTCTTCTTCACGACAAGTGCGTCCGCCGTGCCGTCCAGTTCTGGATGGTTACGAAACCACACACATTTAGTGGGGGAGAATTTTGAACTATTTTTCGACGACGTATTTGTCATGGGCGAACGTCTGTACTGTGACTGCCGACTGGTAACCGCGGGTGGCAATATGCAATGGCATATACTGTAAGCTTGCATAAAAGTCGGATGTCTAATGCGGCCCTGAATCACCGGGGCGGCATAGCTTGCGGTGTGCCATATCTGCATCGAGCATCGATAAATGCTCGATGGATAATCGCTCGATACGGAGGGAAGTGATCTGCAGACAAATTTGCATTCGTCTTTGTCTTCTTTCACTTATGTAGCGTTTTTGCATTACAGCAAGATACGTAGTCGATGTAGTATCCGCTGGGTACCGTGCAAGACTTCATAGCGCAGCGCACGAGTCATCCGCTACCGGGCGCCGCGTACGCCGTAAACCACATGTTCTCGTCGTCAAAAACACCTGCAGGTAATTTGCTATCAGAACCAGGCGGCCGAGGCTGTTGACCTTTCTAAGGAAATTTGTAATCGAGCTTACCGGTAATATAACTGTTCATGGTCATGCTGGAATCTGCACGTGGTAAGAGAAGAATCGTGCGGAACTACACTTTACATTCTTATCTTACGACGTGCAGTATTAACGGCAAATAAATTTCTGGTAAAAGTGGAACGTTCAGTTATAAATGTGTTATGGAAGGTTATGGTATGCAAAATTTGTTTTCCAGCTAACAACTTGCCAACTGCGCCTTCTCCGACAAGAGATCCTACGAGCCATCACCGGTGTGAACTCAGCGGGCTACCGTGATGGTGGAATGTGTAAATACGTAATTGTGTCACCCTAAATTGACCGCTTAAATCACTACGGGTATGCTCCGTTAATTGGACAGACTGTTTGACCGGCACATGTGCCGGATGGTATCATGGGCGATTCACTAACCCGGATCCATTGCTGGATCCGGGTTGTGCAACGTTGGATCCGTGCCCATTGTTATTCACCGGGCGATTCACTAACCCGTAGGGACGATCACGAAACTTTTAATTTTAACCGCAAATCAGCTGTGTTATACATAAAAATTAACTGTGTATAATTTCTACCCCTTTCGTATACGCTATATAAAGGGATATATACGATATGTCGAAGGAAGAAGACCATTATTCACTAGTGTTTCGCTGTCTGCGTAAGCGTTTGTTTTTCTTAGTCCCCGATTTTTCTCCTGCTGAGCAGTGGCTGTATGTGATGGCGGATTACGAAAGGGCGATAATTAATGCTTTGAAAGAAACATTTCCCGAAGTTATGGTAAAGGGATAGCAGCTAGAATCGAGCCCGCGGTTGGAATAATATGTTCGGGAGTGACCAGAAGTCAGGAACTGACTACCGTGACACCTGGCTCGGAAGTTACAGAACAACTTTATTCTCAGTGGAGATGCTAATGTTGATAAATGAATGATTACTGTAGTAAGTGAAAAAAGTTTATAAAATAATGGTATACGGGAAAGGTTCGTGAATCGCCCATGTTCCACCGTTTAGTGAATCGACCGGTCACTTGCGTAAACTGAATGGCGAAAAATACAATGTGCCATTCTAATTTCGAAGCCATCGCGCACTATTGTTCGTGAATCGCACTCTGAACCGTGCCGGATGTTGTTTGTACTGCGTACCGATCCATACGTTATATAACTTCCCTGGTATCGAATACCGATGGGTAGCCGAAACAGACAGAAAGAAGCCGCCACACACTGCAACAATTAGAACTAGCACAACCTTAACCTTGTATCCGTAATACATATTTTTCGCAAGAATTCGAGAAATTATAATTCATAAAAGAAACTAGCAGCAGGTACCCTGCAAAGCCAAGAAAACCTCTAGTGGAGGTAGCTTTGAGATTAAATAATTAAAACAAATCTTTAAATAATTAAAACAAATCTTTATCTCAAAAAAACAGCTGCTGTGACTATGTATCAAACCAGTTTTGAGATCTTTTGTTGGTTTCTAACAGCGTTTGTTAATTGTTTCTAAGGTAGATCAAACGTATTTTTTGCACAGCCGACATCCGGGCGTCACATGCATCCCATTCAGAGACTTTGAGCCTTTGTGTGAAATTGCCGGTTATGACTGTCAGCGTCAAATGATCGATTATTACATGTATTCAGCATGCATGTCTCGGGTAAGTTATGCACTATAATCATTAAATACCATGCCTTTAAGAAACTATTTCCTTATTTGCAGGGGGTGCGCCGACCTTAGCGAATAAAGGCAAAGTTGTATTTTTTAACGAAATACAAGTGCCAATTTTTATTCTTTCCGGGTGTTTTTATTTTTGAGAGGTCGTTAATATTTGTTACACAAAGCTGCTCATAAACTTAATTTTCAAAAGATGGAACGCCTACTCGCGCAGACAGAGGAATCAGATAATATGTTAATAGATAGAACTATGGACACAAGGGGAAAACTATTTTAGTGGAACCATTTCGTTTCACTGCTGCCGTTACCCGGCTAGTACATCGGTTAAATCCGGCGCGGTACATAAATGCCATGATTAGCCACAACGTAAAACACCAGCCGGATGACGACGGCAGCAGTGCAAGGAACCGTTTTCAATAAAAGGGTTTTCCCTCTAATATACATGTACTTGCTTAAACAGCAAACAACACATAAATAAGCAAGCGGCTGAAGCCGCACACTGGCGAATCCCGCTACCATGAATTTCTTCGACAAGGAACGATTGTCATTTAGATATTCAGCGGGGAAATGCGGTGTCTGTTCTGAGACAATGGAAGCAGCAAAAAAGCTGAACGAAGTTTTGATGTTCTGGTAACCGCTTAAAATGTTTTCCGTTTATGCAGAATACGTCGCAACCAGGTGGATAAAATACAGTGAACAATTCGACCACATATCCTTTAGCTTGATCTTACCGACGTCCTTTTTATCAAGATCGAACTTTATTTGCACACCCGGTTGCAACATATATTTCATTCAAATTTAAGGAGCTCGAGCCATCGTCTGAGGTCATTCTAATGAACTTTAAATTTTAAGTGATTGATCATCACAAAGATCTTACAGAAATAGCGTGTTTATGAATGAGCTCATAAATCTTACGTCACAGAAGACTGTATGCCGTGCCACTAAGTGCTGTAATGTTATCGATTTATTTTGCGGTACGCTTAGTTGCGCTATCGCACAATTTACGAGTGACCTAGGTAGACAACGTAAAATGTTACA